AATGGTGTCATTGCTTGTCTAGGCTGATGAAGACATCTCCTTTCGAGCTCACTACCGAGGTCATGGCCATAGTCATGGTGTTCGTGACCTGACCAAAGCCGAGTCAAATCCACTGGACCACTAGTTATATCAACTTCAGGAACCGTGACTTTGATCATGATCTAGATGGCGAGCTGCCTTGAAGGAGTCAATTTTCTGAAAATGAGAAACTATCGGGAGTTGGAGGAGGCGGTGATATGAAAAACGTTTTCCAGCTCTATTTTTGTGCGTTCTCAAAGAAACTTTTTAGGGAAACGTTTTTTTGCAGGCTGCAGAAAACAACAAAGAAATTTTTTAGCCAGGTAATTGCAACATAATAAACATTATCGATCTAAAGATATCAAAGATTAACATTTCAACAACCCTAACCTAAATTTGCAACAGATCTTTTCAAAACTTGGGAACCGCCCTTCGAATACCTGTTACACCAAAGTTGAGACCAGTAGCTGACAATAAGATAGTAAATTCCTATAAAAATCCTCCTTACAACTTTTTACTACTAATTTTGAATACCTAACCAAGTGTCTCTTCCCACCCCGTTTCCCTCGCGGAATTGCAATTTCCATTCCCACCCAAGGCAGCCAGTAAAACGAATACAAATACTCGGGGCTTAACCTTGTTCTCACAATCAAAATAAAGATGAGTAAGGGACGAGGTCTTACTGACAATGAAATCATGTCAACACACTTATTTTTTATTGCATACATTTAATGTGCTTAAAAGGCGTACCGCCCCGGAAGAATTTTTGTGTCATCTTCGCCTTTGAAGAGAAGGGGAAGATCCGAATCCGAGAGGCGAGAAAAAGGTACAGGTAAGGGATGAGGTGGAGATTGAAGGATGGGGAGGTTAACTGGACTCGGAATGGGTAAGTTTGGAGAGGGATAAGAGCAGTAGTTGCAAGCTGAAAAGTCAGGGTTCTAGTCGTCATGATCAATGTAAAAATCGGAGATGCTCAAGAAATAGTCAGCACATTTTGATGGAGCTTTGTACGACCAGAGTTCAACTTTTCTATGACCCGTTTCATCAAAAATCCTCAAGAAAATTGTTATTTCAAAGCCGTAATATTTGCGTTTTATCTACTACTCTTTGCAAAAGCCGTCAATTAAATTTTTGAAGCTTTTGCCCGTTCTCTCTTACAACTCCCCTAAAAACGCACTTCCACTACAACCTATTTACCTGCAAAGTTTGTCTGCAAGATCTTCCCACACAGATCCGAGTGTAATTATCCTTGTAATCGTCCTCTTTTCGACTTCAAACACTGCCATTTAAAAGAAGAACGGAGGGGAAAGAAATATGGTAGTTGAGGGAAGAAGTCGCGGAAAACCAATAATTAAGAAGGAATATAAAGTCAGAGAGAGACTGGGAAATAAAGGTCACAGAGTACGGTAGGAGTAGATGGGAGTCTGGAGAGGGAGGTACAATGCTTTGAGGTGGATAGTGATCTTAATTATTAGCATTATTTTGTATGACACGATTAAGGAAAAGCACTTTTTAGGTCACGACATTACTACTACTGAAGAAACGGAGTATTTTTTTGTGTTTGATACGGAAGTCAAAAAAAATCGAGCATAATCAAGAAACTTGCAAACGCCGTACAAAAATGTCATCAAATTCGTGCTAGGGTCGTGATAAAAACTCAAGAAATCGACCAAAAAATTATCCCATATGGTTGAGTAAACCAACCAAAAAATAAATTGATATATCCGTTATTTGGATCACCCCAACCATCCCGCAATCCGATCCCCAAACTTGTCACTTTGCCCGTGACATTTCCGAGGATGCCGTAATTGAGAAGACAAAACGAGGTCGCCCTCCCTTCCCTCGCTAATATAAATACAGGCGGGCGTTTTCCCAGAATAATTTCCTGGAAGAATAAATAGAATGGAATCGACGATTTCCATCCCAAAGACTTCAAACCTCGTTTAACGATCTCGCTGAGGTCCGAATTACTCTGCTCCATTCGGTTACAGTAACTGAGTGGAAGCGGAATGTTGGAGTATTTATAGGCCGAGAAAGGAGAACAGGGTTATTGTTTTACAATTAGAACAATGGAACGGAGATCCTGGAGGATTCATAAAGGCGCTACCGAAAGAGGATTCAAATGGCATTCATTTATATAATTAGAAGGACTAAAGGGCGATTTAGGACATCGCGGTGATTTGAAGAATTGAGCAAGACTTTGAAAGAAACCTGAGGCACTTATTTACAAGGGAAGTACCCCAAGTGCGACGCTCAGATTTTCTTTAAATTTTGCACACACGTCGGGCATAAACTAAATATCGATTCCTGAAAGTTTTAGCTCGCGCTTTGCACGCGCCACCGAGATATGGAACTGTTTTTGTCGCCGAGAGAGTACGTGAAACGCGGAGAGCGGTCAGAGAGAAAAACGTTTTTTGGCCATAACTTTGGCAGTTTCGTTCGGAAAAATTTGATTTTTTGTAGAAAAATTATCCTTTACGGTAGAAATAGGCATGAAACTTTTCGTGCCGAAATTCGGCAAAAAGTGTAAATTTTTTGCCGACTTTCGACCTAAAAATCTCGGTTGTTTCTGCAAAGCGCGAGCTAGGATTCTCGCATATATTTTAGAAAAAATTATTCTAAATTTGTGCCAAGTTTAATCAAAATCTGAGCGTCGCGCTTGGGATGCTTCCCCTTTAGTTCAAATCATCTATTTTTGAATGCTAAACAAACGACTTTAGCAAAGATAATCAACTACTACATATGTAGTTTTTACAGTACATGTTGTTTTGCTTCTGTTTTCTCTCTTCAAGCTTCTGTCGTGGACATTTTATTTGCATATTTGGCCACCGCCGTCGATTTTTATTTATTTTCGGATTTACCGCCTAATTTGAATTCCCGAATTCTCTTTGTATTCGATTATTTTGACATGTCTTTTGATCTTTTTTGTTTCTAAAAATTTACATAAGGCGTGAGGCAAGACCTTTGTTTGTATTTTTCACTTACATTATTACTTTATACATACTGGTTGACATACCAATAAAGTTTTTTAACTTAAAAAATTTTGTCTACTCTTCAGTTTTTTTTGTTGTTGTAACGTTGTGCAACTCGTTATGAAACCGGTTTGTGATACGAAAACGGAAGAGTGATGGACATCGGAAAATAAATCAGAAGCCAAAAACACCCGCAAAAAGGGCAAGTTCGTTGGGAACCTGGAAAAGGTCCGGGATGGTGTAAACAATCGGTAGCCAAAGTGCTTATAGTAAAGTTAGGGTTTGAGAAGTCCTGGGAAGTGATGTTTGGAAAAAAAGTTTAAAGAGAATCAAAAATTATGGAGTATTGAGTGTCTTGATAATAATGATGACATAAAAATATCCCAGAATTTGCAAAAATTTAAATAAATTTGAACTTTGGGATCACCTTGCTACAGAAGAGCAAAATTAAAAGAAAAAAGTTTTACCGTTTATCTTCTAATCTTGTGAAGCCCTGGCTTGCAAGTCCCTATATTTTTTTTCTTCCGTCTTATGCAACATTACAACTATTCGAGGAATTCCAAACTGTCAAAACTAAAACCGGTTCAAATTATTGCCGAACGGTCTTTGGTGAGTTTGTTTGTAATCTCGCATCCAAAGAATCAACGAGACAAAGAGACAAAACAAAAATCGCAAAAAGGATTTTGCGGATGTTAAAAAATCAAAAAATAAAAATCTTTAAAAGTTAAAGCGGCGGAAGAGCTGAATTAAATAATGAGAGATTGTTTAATCCAGCGGATAATCTTGAGGGATCCGCGCGAGGAAAAGCGGTCAGATTTACTCCTAATTTTGTGTAGAGATACATACCAAAAAGTGATTTGTGAAAAATTGGTTGCAAATTTGCTAAAACCAATGAAGAAATGTATCCATCTTACAAGGGAAGTACTTGAAGTGTGACGCTCAGATTTTGATGAAACTTGGCATAAATTTAGAATAATTTTTTCTAAGATATATGCGAGAATCCTAGCTCGCGCTTTACAGAAACAACCGAGATTTTTAGATCAAAAGTCGGCGAAAATTTAGGACTTTTTGCCGAATTTCGGCACGAAAAGTTTCATGCCTATTTCATAATGTTTCTACAAAAAATCAAATTTTTCCGCACGAAACTGCCAAAGTTATGGCCAAAAAGCGCTTTTCTCTCTGACCGCTCTCCACGTTTAGCGTGCTCTCTCGGCGGCAAAAATCGTTCGATATCTCGGCGGCGCCCGCAAAGCGCGAGCTAAAACTTTCAGGAATTGATATTTAGTCCATACCCGATGTGTGTGCAAAATTTAAAGAAAATCTGAGCGTCACACTTGGAGTACTTCCCCTGTTAGCAAAGAATAGAGTAACGAAAGGCTGAAAAGGCGACTAGGAAGACGTTTTTTGCCATAGCTAAATTTAAGCTTAGTCGAACTTGTAATTACTGTATATTATTGGCATTCACAAGGATTGCATTGTCGTATATTCTCATAAATAGCCACCCAGAATGTGAAAAGGGTTGCCAAACCTTCTGTTTACGATCGTTAGTATTCTTAGGCCCACCTAATCCTTTGAAAGCCAGCAAAATAAATTGGGTGCGCGTATTTTACAAATATTCTCGTCAATTCTGAGTTGGTTTATTTTAACTCTAGAATCTGTGTTACCCAATTTTCACTTCGATTCAATAACCATTTCAATTTTATGACCAGAATTGCGATCAAAAATTTCAGACAGAATATTAACTCGTTGTACCTCAAGATTCTGTTAATGTCCTCTTTCAATTCCTGATTTTGCGTTTCGTTTACAACCCTGTAATTCCCATGTGTAATATTTTGCGACTTCCGCGGGTTTTCGTATTTGCAAATTGCATTGTTTACTCATTAACTGCCCCGGGGAGAGAGGGCGTTTCCCACGCAAAAACGGTTTTTTCTTTTTCTTCTCGAGGCTATAAAAGCGCAGAGGAGCGGTGTTCCGATCATCAGTGGCTTCTTCCACCTTCAGAAGACGGCCATGGATCTCGAGAACCGCATTAAAGCTTATCGTTTCGTCGCCTACTCGGCAGTCACCTTCTCGGTGGTCGCAGTCCTCTCCGTCTGCGTCACTCTGCCCATGGTCTACAACTATGTGCACCATGTGAGACGTCAGATGCACAGTGAGATCGCTTACTGCAAGGTAAACTTTATTCGTTTTCCTTCTTCTTCCATACAGCAAAAGAAAACTCCCTGCAACTTTTTGATGACTTTTCAAGAAATCTCATATCTAATGATTACAGGGATCCGCCAAGGACATCTGGTCCGAGGTCAACCAAATCCGCAGCGGCCCAGCCAACCGTACCGCCCGTCAGGCCGGCTACGACTCTGCTGTCGGTGGCGGACCCGCCGCCGTCTCCGGAGGCGGCGCATCCGGTGGCTGTGACGGCTGCTGTCTGCCCGGCCCACCAGGAGCTGCCGGTACCCCCGGTAAGCCAGGACGCCCAGGAAAGCCCGGTGCTCCCGGACTTCCAGGAAACCCAGGAAAGCCCCCAGTCCAGCCTTGCGAGCCCGTCACCCCACCACCATGCAAGCCTTGCCCACAAGGACCACCCGGCCCACCTGGCCCACCAGGACCACCAGGAGATGCCGGAACCCCCGGAGCCCCCGGAAACCCAGGATCCGACGCCAGCCCAGGACAGCCCGGACCCAAGGGACCACCCGGCCCACCAGGACAGCCCGGTCAGCCAGGAGCCCCCGGAGAGCCAGGAGCCCCAGCCCAGAGCGAGCCCATCGTCCCAGGACCACCAGGACCAGCTGGAGATGCCGGACCACCCGGACCACCTGGACCCCCAGGACAGCCAGGAGCCGACGCCGGACCAGGCCCAGCTGGACCCAAGGGACCACCCGGCCCACCAGGACCACCCGGAAACGACGGACAGCCCGGTCAGCCAGGTCAAGCCGGCCCACCCGGAAGCGCCGGAGAGAAGGGAATCTGCCCCAAATACTGCGCCATCGATGGTGGAGTCTTCTTCGAGGACGGAACTCGGCGTTAAGCCCCTTCAGCTGGCCGGGCGATGGCCTCAACAAAGCCTTGCCCGGCCCGTTGTTGGCCTTCTTTGTATATTTACCGTGTTTCATAAAAAAGATCAATAAATGAGTTGCACGGTTTGCGTTCTTGGGAATTCCTTTCTTTTTTTTCTAATTCTCATTAGCCAGAAACGGGTTTTGGGGCTGTAAAATAATTTCAAAAAAGTAGGGAAAGGGGTTCGGGAATTGAGACAGCGACGAAAAGATTTGATCAATTATGGAGTCGAGTCAAACGTTTTGCAATTGGGAAGAAAAAAGTCACAAATTTAATACGGGGTCAGGACATCTCCCCCCTCTTTTCGGGCCCTGGGTTTTTTGGGTGATAAGTGAATATAGGGATAGAATAAAATACTCAAGACATTTACAAGGTTCTTCTTTATTTCCAATCAAAGAATATACATGCTACCAGCAATTGGATCACACTTTCCCACATCATTTGAATTTCCCACATTCCTTGGGTCCAAATGATTCATGGCAGGTGCAAATTCAGCTAGGTCAACGGACTTTCTGGAGTCTTCGGTCCCGGTCTTAGGCTTTGATACAGAGGCTTCTCCAAGCTTCTGGTTTAGCTTGGCATCTAAAAGGAAGCGTTATCAAATTTCTTTTACTTTTAAACCATCAAAAATCTATGCTAAACGCTCTCAAATTCACCTGCCTTTATCTTTCGTCCTCTTCCTCGAATATTCGTTTTGACTTGTCGACTGTCCATCAGTCACACTCCTTGATCGTGCTGTTTTCATGGGACAAGGCGATACAGCAACTTCTCTACAAAATCATAAAATTCTCAAGTCATCGTCACACTGTGTGACAGTTATATGTATAATAAGTAGTAATGTATACCCACAGTCCTTGAATTTTCTCAACTGGTTCCAGATCTATTTCCTCGTCAATTTGTTCGGCATGAAGGTTCATATCCATCAGTGGGGCTGCGCACTTCTTTCGCTAAAAATGTGCACAGTGCAAAGAAATTTTAAAAAAATCTCCGCACAGTGCGGTGAAAATGGCAAAATCATCAAGCCGAATGAGCAAGAGAATGAGCGAAATAACAAAAATCAAGAGGTAAGACATACAGAGCGGACTGTAGCCAAGTATTTCTTGGCCTTCTCAAGGTCACTTTTGCTGATCGATCGCTTCTTTTTCCTAAAAATACATCAAGCCAGCATAGATAACAAAGATGTGTCAAATTTTCATGATTTTATCGACTACGGAAATCCTCCATGCAATAAATTAACCTTTCAGCTATACAAATGAAAGTAATTTATCTCCAATCTCTGTCAACTTACGTTTTAGTGATGTCATCGCTGGTAACTGGAGTGGCCGAAGTCTCATCTCCTGAGCCAGTTTTACTCACACTGGCCCTCCTTTCCCTAATCCCATCCTCGGTGCAGGACTTGGCGTTGGCTTTGGAGCGGATCTTGCGCTGACTTTGCGTTGTAACACTGTTCTCATTTCGATGAGAGCGGTTCGGCTTGAGACACGAAAAACAAGACCAAAAGATTGTTGAAGCCACAAAAATCAGGTAGAAAAGGAATCCGATCAACGGGGTATGGACAGAAACCAATCTACCAGACATTTTTCGATGCAAAACAGCCAATCTTGATGATGACAAAAGTGAAAAATGGTAACATTTTCAACAAATTTGATCCTTCACATTGTGAAAAATAAAAATAGAGTTGTAAATGTAGAAAGCAAAAGTCAGAGATCCAAACCTGAGAAAAGCGTAAGCTACAATTTTCTGATGAAAAAATTTGCAACTTAAACCTCGCTGACATCCATTCCAAAAATTTATTCAACTAAAACTTTAACAATTTCAAAACAACTATTAACAATAACAAAATTTATTCCTAATCATTCCCTAGCTCTCTGCTTATTGCTTTTCACATATCTGAGAAGTGCAATAAGTCCCTCTGGTGTCATCCCTTCGATTCTGGAGGCCGCAGCCAAGTTCAACGGCCTTAGCGAGTCCAATTTCTCTCGACATTCCAAGTTCAACACCTCGATGTTTGTGTAGTCCAGGTCTTCCGGTAATTCTGCCGACATTTCCTTCTTCATTTCCTCCATTTGTCTCATGTATCTTTCATGTTGAAGCGAGTACAATCCATCCAATCTGAGGCGTTCTTCAATATCCTCATTTCCGACCAGATCTTCCACACTTTTGAAAGCAACAGGATCGGCTGAGCAGAAGTCTTCAAGTTTCACATCGTACCGGTGCATCAATTCATAAGCGGAATGACCTAAAATAAAATCATAGGATTATTGATGACACGGTGATACCTCAAAAGGAAAAGAAAACATATTCGTTATGCGACTCACATTTTGCAGTCGTCCTAAATTTGAATCCTTTTGATTCCAAGAGCTTCCCCCACTTGGGTAAGACCATTTCGACTCCCAGCAAAGCCTCTTTTAGCCGTTTAAAATCACTTTTTACTTTACTAAAGTGCTTCCATCGCGCTGGAGATAAAACTCCATACGGTTTGGCCTTCTCGGTTAGTCGGAGATCCGCGTTGTCCGGTCTGAAATCGGAGCGTTTTTACCGTAATTTTCGGGAAAGATTACGAAAGTTATGGAACTTTCTCGAAAATTTCACACCCTTCTAGAAAGTTGTGAAACTTCTAGAAATTTCTATCATGTGACCACATAAAGGTATAGGTGACAGCATGCGGACTGATATGTAACTTTTTTACAGACCAAACGTGGAAGAATGTCCGATACAAAGTTTCTCGTTCGCTGCGCCCTACTTTACAACTACCGTAAAGGAATGAAAGCCACGGAAGCCACGACCGAAATCCAGGATGTTTTGGGCAAAGACGCCCTCTCCTACCATATGGCGAAGTATTGGTTCCAGAGGTTCAAAGAAGGGGACTATGGACTGGAGGACAAACCAAGGTCCGGACGGCCAACTGTGATCGACGATGACGCCCTGAAAGCCATGATCGAGAGCGATCCCAAACTGACATCACGTGAACTTGAAGAGCTCCTTGGTGTTTCCCATTCCGCCATTCTGGACCATCTCCATCGGTTGGGCAAAGTGTGGAAGTACGGTCAATACGTTCCCCATGAACTTTCGGAGTGGCAGCTTATGGTCCGCGCCAACTGTTGTGCCCAACTTTTGTCGTACCACCGCACATTGAACTGGGTGACCAATATCGTTACTGGAGACGAGAAATGGGTCATGTATGTGAACCATACCCGCAAGCGTCAGTGGCATGGACCCGGCCATCATGGTGAGCCAACCCCGAAACCCGAACTTCACCCAAAAAGGATTATGCTGTGTGTTTGGTGGACTTCTACGGGAGTTATTTATTGGGAATTGCTCCCTGATGGTCACGCCGTCACCCCAGAAGAGTATTCGCGGCAGTTGGACCGCGTCGCCGAGAATGCTAGAGGAAAAATGGAACAAGTTTTCTTTCTGCACAGCAACACCCGGCCCGAGATCGCAAAAGTCGTGCGCCAAAAAGTGATGGAGAATGGCTGGAGTCTGCTGCCCCATCCGCAGTATTCCCCAGATCTGGCACCCTCTGATTACCACTTATTCAAGTCGCTGAGCAGCCATTTGGGAGCTATGCGGTTCGATTGTTTGGAGGACCTCAAAACAGCCCTCTCGGATTTCTTTGATTCCAGAGACCCCGGTTTCTACGCTCGTGGAATTGAATCCTTGCCGGAACGTTGGCAACGTGTAATGGATACCGACGGTGAATACTATGTTTGATTTCCTTTCCCGTTATTGTTATTAAAATAAATTTGTTTTGAAAAAACTTTTTGAATCAATTACTACAACTTTTGGTTAAAATTCCAACCTTACCTTAGATGAAGTCGAAACTCAACTCTCGATGTGAACATTCGATAAGGTTCTTTGACACCGAAATTGATCAAATCGTCAATTAAAACGCCCAAGTATCCTTCAGATCTGCAAATTGTCAATGGATCTTCTGGAGTCTCCAAATTTTTCCGTTTTTTCGATCGCCAAACACAATTTATCCCGGCCAGGACTCCTGAAAGCGCTCACGATTACTCAATGACACTCTGTTCAAGTTCTCACAACCTTGTAAGACACTTGAAACTAAATTCAGCCCAGAAATTCTACTTTCGAAAGTTTTCCTACCTTGACTTGCGGCCTCCTCATAGCCCGTTGTCCCATTGATCTGACCCGCCAAGAAGAGCCCTTCCACTTTCTTTGTTTCCAACCAGGGCTGTAACTGCTTAGGATTGACGTAATCATAATGAACTCCATATCCATATTGTAGTATCTTCGCCTTCTCCAATCCTTCTATCGAGTTGACAATCTGATCTTGGATCTTTTCTTCGTTTGTCATCGTACTACCTTGCATATAAATAACGTTCGAATTGAGGCCTTCGTATTCGAGAAAGAACTAAAACAAAACACATAACAACAAAATTCTTATCTTACCCTATGATTCAGCTTGGGAAATCGGATGACTTTGGTCTCCAAAGATGGGCAATACCTCGGTCCGGTCACTCCACCGGCACAATGCAGGTTTTGTGAGAGGTTGTCGTTAACTATTTTGACCACTTTTTGATTTGTGTAGCCGAAATACGTGGGAATCTAGAAAATAGGTATAAATAATGACTAAAATAATATAAAGATCAAATCTAAGAGTTTAAACGGTAAGCTATACTCAATAATTGACCACATTACACTAAATTTTATATCCTGAAAGCTATATTTCTAGCTTCTCACCTGTTTCTCCACATCAATCCACAGTTTTTTTGTCATATAACTGAATGGAATCGGGTTTTGATCAGGCGGTGCTATTGTAAACTTGCTAAAATCGATTGTGTTGGAATCCAGACGAGGTGGAGTCCCTGTTCGCAGCCTTCCGAGTTCAAATCCCAGCCTTAAAAATGTTTTCGAAAGCCCGTAAGAAGCTGGATCTCCGAGTCGCCCGGCTGGTCTGGATGTCATCCCTCGATAAATCTCGGCAGATAAGAAAGTCCCTGTTGTTATCATTACAGTATCCGAAGTTATTATCTGAAAAAACACTTGTGAAGCATATTTTGGAGAAATTATATTCCCCGTAAAACAATTAGTCAGGAAATTCAAAAAAAAGAATCAAATGGTAATAAAATTAACAGTTGTTCTTACCGTTCCATCATCAAGAACACATCCATTTATTCTTGTGGTGCCATTTCCTTCATCAAGAACAAGGTCCTCAACAGCTGCTTCCAAAACCATCAACCCCGGTGTGTTCAGTATTTCCTTCTGCATGTTCCTAAGGTAAATTGTACGATCCATCTGAGCCCTCAACCCTAGAACGGCCGGGCCATGTGATCTATTTAGTGCTTGGAATGTAATGGCTGATTGATCACAAACTCGAGGTGAAACTCCATCAAAAGCGTCCAGTTCCCTAAAGATCAGGGTCTATTAGCTTCTCCATTGAATTTAAGACGTATTAGTGCCTAAATAACAATAAAAAAATTGAAATCAACTCACCTCATCAAATGTCCCTTGCCGATCCCTCCAAAAGACGGATTGCAACTCATAACACCGATGGAATCCACTTTATGTGTGATCATGAGGACTCTTGAGCCACATCTTGCGGCCGCAGCCGCTCCCTCACATCCGGCATGTCCACCACCAACCACAATCACATCGAATCTCTTCGATAGTTCGGGATCACTGGCTGAGATTTGCAGAAACCTTCGTGAGATCAAAGAAGAACGAGAAAAAGCCTTTAGCATCAACCTTCAAGCTTCTAAAGCCAAAACAACACCCGGAAATATTTCTATTTGGCCGATGGATCAACCAAATCTTGGAAACACCTCAAATTTCGGAAAAAAAAAATATTTTTCTTTTTCTAGGGGAATAGTTGACTCATCCTCCAACATGGGTCATGACTTTCTTTATAACCGAATTCCGTTTATTTACGTTTATTGTTAGCTAAACGCATTTAGAACCCTGCTTCCCTGAATATTTCATTAGTTGGATCGTAGGCTCTGATTCTCTCAATGTCCTCCTGTGCCCATACGTCGTATGTGAATATAGAGTCCTCGTGAGATCTGATAAATCTGTCCAAATCGCTCTCGTATCCCTTTTTGGCCATCCATGTGCAACAACACGCCACATCTTGCGCTGCGTAGACGTAAAAGCACTTGCATCCGACCTCTCTTTCCATCAGAGTCCAGGACGTGTAGTCGCAGATCCCGTCGTAGATTCCGTAGAGGACGTTGCTCTTGATTCGTCCCTTTTGGAACTCGTAAATCCAGGATCCCTTGTACTCTTCGGAAATTGTTTCGTCTTCAAACCGATCTGGTGGGCCTTTAGCGAAGTAGTCTAAAATATAATTACTTCACATGGCCATTTCTTTTGTTATATTCACCATGCAATCTGCGAGTCCCCAATTTTTGTGTAGAAACACATAGTCCAGTGGGATCCTGGGTGTAATCGATAGCAGGGTCATATGCGTTGTACTTGAGGTCTGTTGTGTTTAATCCCATACAAAATAGGAGCGGCTGGAATCAAATTTAAGGCCATGTTTTCTCTTCTCACCTCTCTATCCGATTGTAAGACGTGGTTGCTGACGACCGTGAGGGCCAGTGGTTTCTGTGGTAGATTCTTGTCTATCTGACCGTTCTCCTCATTAGTTTTGTTCGGATCATAGGCGGTGGCTGGAAATATATCATTTATTTTCAAACGAATGTCAAAATTTCACCGTATCCGCACGCCAATCCAAAATAAATACAGGGTGGTTCAGCTAAGTTCGCGGATGTAAAATGCTTATAACTTTTTATAGGATTGTTCAATTTTTATGAGCAATAGCTCATTTTATTCCTTAGTGGTTACCATTTTGTTTAAAAAAAAGATCATTACAAATGATCAATCCTACGTCGAGTTATGACCCTTCAAAGTCAAACTTGCCTTTTCACGCTTCACTGCGGGTCGGGTCAAGTTTTTTTCATGTGGTGGTCAAGTCTTTCCCCTAATATTATTTTTTCCCCGAAATTCAGACTGTTATATGGGAGGTTAATCAAGGTAAATCTGGTCAGTTCTTGTTGATTATTTCAAGAACAAGTCTTATTCTATTTTTAGAAATCAAATTTGATTGAATTACGGTGTGGGTTTGCCTCAATTTTTAGCATTCTTTGGGGGTATGTATTCTATACCTAAATGATCAATTGTGAGACAGTTTCAAGTCTGATTTACGATATCGTTTCCATTTCACCTTCGGACGTACGCCACCTGTCCAATAAAGGTAAGTAACTGTGAATCTGGTAGTCCGTTTTTTAGTCATTAAAGATTTTGTATATTATTCTAGGTTATTCAGAAAATTTTGTACGGGATTTGCCTGGTTTTCCTCAAAATCACGTCCAACATATTAATTTTACTGTCCTAACCACGTTTCCCATCACCAGAGGTCTTCACAGATGTGATCCAGATGTTATACGTTACAGGGATCATGTATAACATCCGCCTGAAAAAACGCTAGATTGGTCTCAAACACATTTTTGCTTCGCTTAATGATCTTCGAAAGTATTTTCCTTGATTTTTATGAAAATTCCGCATAGTTTGGGCGTTGAATTTCATCTCTACCTAAAATCTGCATCAACTTTGGACACAAAGAAAAAGTCTAAAAGAGAAGGAGAAACCTGTCCACTTACGTTTTTATAGGCACTAGAGACCAATATTACGCTAAATAATCTAATCCAGGCCGAAAACTTGGCAAATCTCAACAAAAATCTTCAAAAATACCTAGTATAATATACAAAATCTTTAATGACTAAAAAACGGACTACCAGATTCACAGTTACTTACCTTTATTGGACAGGTGGCGTACGTCCGAAGGTGAAATGGAAACGATATCGTAAATCAGACTTGAAACTGTCTCACAATTGATCATTTAGGTATAGAGTACATACCCCCAAAGAATGCTAAAAATTGAGGCAAACCCACACCGCAATTCAATCAAATTTGATTTCTAAAATAGAATAAGACTTGTTCTTGAAATAATCAACAAGAACTGACCAGATTTACCTTGATTAACCTCCCATATAACAGTCTGAATTTCGGGGAAAAAATAATATTAGGGGAAAGACTTGACCACCCCATGAAAAAAACTTGACCCGACCCGCAGTGCGCTTCAATCTGAAAATTTCCGAAAAATCTCGAAAATCGCTTATAACTTTCGACCGGTCGATAATTTTAAATTGTAAGTGGGCTTCAGAAGTCATAGAATTTTGCGTAGAATACGATGGATTCAAAAAAAATCCGTAAATTTTTTTAAAATTTACGTGAAAAAGCATGTTTGACTTTGAAGGGTCATAACTCGACGTAGGACTGATCATTTTTAATGATCTTTTTTTTTAACAAAATGGTAACTACTAAGGAATAAAATGAGGTATTGCTCATAAAAATTGAACAATCCTGTAAAAAGTTATAAGCATTTTACATCCGCGAACTTAGCTGAACCACCCTGTAGAACAAAAAGTTTCCCGCCCCCTTTGGTGATTCGTTCAAAACGAAATGTCACTATCCGATAAAAAGCATTTTTTTTATCTTTCTTCTTTCTTTTCGAGAAAAAGTAATTATTTCGGGCGAGAAAAAAGTGCCGATAATTTCGCGACATTTCGTCTTTCTTTTAAATCAATGAAAACGATACGAAATTTCGAAACGGTTCAGGAAATCCGCTGGATTGACGTGTTCCGTGCTTCGGAATTTTTCGCTTGAAATCATGCACAGTGCAATCAAAAATCCGGTTGCACCGTGCGGTCGGCAGGCAACTTCTTCCGCAGAGTGCAATCCGCTGACTCACCGTTAAAGGTTTCAATTACAGTATCGTATCTGGTGTTATCCCTATGTCGTCCGGTAATCTTTATCGTCGTGTGTAATTGATACAGCATGTTGATGATAGAATGAAATATGCCTTTTCTGTAGATCGGGTGTTTAAACCTCTTCGCTTTATGAACCAGAAAGTAGTTTCCGTCAGTGTCCAATGGAAAATATGTTCTTGATACCGCCTCGTGGGTTTTGTAAGCGGCTCGGAAGCACAAGTTGAACCGCGAAATCACCCGAGGGAAGTCTGTAATCGGGCTTTGGAGTTCTGCCAGTGTATACGACCTTGATCCAGAAGAACAAGTGCGGTTCGTGATATAGTGCTGAAATTGGATTACGGTATTCATAGAAAATGTATAGAACATATGTGAAATAATATATTTTGATTTCTTACAGAAGATTTTGCATGATTCTTGATCAAAATATCATGGCACCTACGGCCCTTGCATTCAAAGACAAAGAAGCTCTTCCCCGTGTTCTTGTACGTCTTCCATTGGATGAAATACTGCCCTATTTGTCCAGATGTCTTCAATTTGTAATCCGTAGAATCTAAAAGAGTAATTCCAAAAATCCTGGTCGATACTCACTTAGCAGTTCGGTTATGCTGACATTTGGGATCGCGAAATTGTCCCAAAACCTTTCGGGTCCCACTTCAATTGCTACCACACACTTTTGCTCGTCTCCTTCATTCATTAGGTGGAATAAACAGTAATTTTGATAGTACCGGTCCTTCTGGATTCTCACTTCTTTTGTAATTGTCTGTAAGAGGTTAAAGGTAGATTGAAGATTACTGTACTCTGCTGAAGAATACTGTAAAAACTTGCATAGTTATCCAAAAAGTAGTTTAGAGCAAACAGTGTCTTCTCAATGTGATGAGGTGGGAATTCGATGCGATACTGAAAAATTGAACTAATAAGTAGTCCTGTAATCACAGTGCTTGCTAGTAGAAATAGCTTACTTGTTTCCGAAATGCATTCGCAAAGACTGGATCGTGAAGCGACATATTCATTATGTCTCTTCGGCGTTCGTGGTTTGCATAAAAAAGGCCCCTCAAAAAAGCGTTTCGATCGTCGACACTGAGGATAAAGTAGAGACCGCAGCCCTGAAATTACTATTACAGTGAGGGACCTGATCCAGTGCCAAAAAACGTATCATTTTGCATCCGGGAAGTATCAAAGATGTGGCAAAATGCCTCCCTCTCTAGGTGAAAAAACTCCGTTTTGAACTGCGCGCCCTTCTCTCACAAAAAGAGCGGGCGCGCTTTTGAAATCGGAGCTTTTCACTTGGAGAGAGAGAGGTATATTTTGCTGCATTTTTGATACTTCCAGGATGCGAAATGGTACTTTTTTGGCGAATGGATCAGGTCCGCCACTGTATGTGTTTGGCCAAGAAGGCATGTCTAGCGAATCCCTCTCGAACTCACATTTGCCGCACTCCTCGGCATCCTGATATCCGGATGTCCATAGATAGTCTCGTTGATATCCATAACCCCCTCTCCTTTGTCCAGATCAAAACTCTTTGTCCGAATTTCCCCCACAAAGCACTTCCTTGTCCGATGAACTTCCAGACATTCGTAATACCCATGGCATTTGCAGATCGTTCTCATATGCACCTTCCCCGGTTTTGTCTTCATTGTCTGGTAACACGTCGTGTGTAGATGGTTGTCTGTGTAAAAATTGTAATCCTCTTGAGTCAACAATTCCTGGCTAATAGTACTTTTGCCAGTTTTGTTATTCGGATAGTATATATGAATCTGCTCTTCACTGTAGACACAATCCATGGTGATTCGGGATGTTTGGACCAGTTCCAGATGACTTACACAGTAATGTTTGATCGTAGTGGGTACGTAATCCGAATAAGTGATGTTCTCCCATGATTTGTATGTCTTTGGCGCCCTTTCTGTTGGGTCAAAGACCAAATAGCCTCCATTTTGGGTGTTGCCAATCGCTTGAACGAAGGGTTTTCGGACATTGGACTTGCGATGACGTCGCGCGAACTCTCTGAAGATATCTTCCAGTTGGGCGCGGACCTGGAATCCAATTTGTCATCTGCTCAAGTCCAACTTACTTTTTTGTCGTTAAAATCAACCCGAAAATAAACGGTATGGGTCAAAAAGAGCATCACCAAAGGATCGGCGGCCGCGATTTTACTCTCATCAAAGTAGGAAACGTTTCCATGGTGTATGGTCACGTTCTCCAAGTGGACCCATCCGTTGAAAAGTGGAAATAAAGAGCACGCAACCAACCATGTTTTGAGCATTGTAAAAGTAAAAACTAAAAATTTTTGAATTTAGAAGGGGGTTTATTTTGTAATCTCAACATGTCTTTTTGGTCAAAAATTCCAGAAATTTAAAAATTAAAAAATTTTTTTTTGAAATCCGGGCTTGTAGAGGGTAAATTACATTTCAGTCACCACAAGTCACCAAAAATTTTCATCCTTCCATTAGATGAAATATAATTTATTTGCATTGAGATTTCTTGAAAAAATGGCAAGATCAAGATGAAATTAAAGCACTTTTGTGACCAGTATTCGGCAAAATAAATTAGAATATCCTCTATGGGTTGATGAAAGAGACCAAAATATATCTGGTGCCTTTTGTGGTGGGCAGGCCTTCATGGAGATGGGTCAGTCGGCCGGGGAACAGCATCGAATGGCCTGAAAGTGAAGAGAAATAAAAGTTGTTGGTGGACCGAATTATTACACCAATAGAGAAGATTAATATAACTACTAACACTGAGAGTTTTCCCAATTTTACTCACCGACTTCATCTGCTGGGACGGTGCAATTGTATCGAACGTATCTTACACCACCTCCTTCGAAGTCAACTCCCCTTTTGTTGAGGGCAATGTCGATGGAATAAGTGGAGGCATCGTTGTGCGGACGAAGGAAGCTCTGTTCGTCGGGTTTGTAACGGACAACGAACATCATTTCTGATTGGATGGGCTGCAAATCAAAGAAAATTATAAACAAAGAGTCCTACTTTATAAACCAAGAGTCCTACTTTTTTGATGATTAATATAAAATTTTTCAATATCTCTCATTATAAGCTCAAAAAGTCTCTATTATCCCTTCCTTACTCTGTTATAATATCCCTCAAACACTTTTTCCTGCATTGGCGCGGCGTACGAGTCGAGGACGGCCAGCCATTGATGATGCAGACCAACTTGTCTCATGTGGATGTCTCTGGTGGGCACATTCTCATAGCCTCCGGCCAATCTTTCGTCCTCATTCTTCCCGGACGACCACTTTCCATAATGATTCATGATGGCAATCATCTCCTTCGAGAGTCTCTCACTTATAAATGGGAAATCATAGACATCCGGGCAAGGTTCGGAGACCGGAGCGCCTGGTTCCAGAGTTTTGTAGTAGTCAGGATGGAGGTAACGGGCTTCCCAGAGCTTCAATCAACAATATTAAATCAGGGCAGTTAAAAAATCTTCTTTTTCGGCCGTGAAAATCGCTTTTTTTCGAAATTCGCCTATTACAGTATGAAAATCAATGCAAAACCTACTTCTTTATTGTTCGGAAAGTCATACACTTCCTTGTGGATGGTCTCTGGACTCAGTTGTTCAAAATAATCAGCAAATACAAGAAATCCGAGGGTCTCTTGGTTGTCTAACATCAAAAAGTGCCCCTAAAATAGGAAAAAATTACATAAACATAAAAAAAATATATTTTTTGATTCCAAAAAAAGTCGAAAACAATTCTCAATCACTTACATGATGTCTACAGTACCCCGCGAAGCTCATATCGGGGTCCATTTTCTCATTAAAATCGAATGATTTCCTCAGTTTTTCCAGTCTCTCAGATTTGATTAAAATGACGTCATTGGCAAAGGGGACGTTGAAAGATCCGATTCGTTTCTTCTCCACAATATCCACATAGTCCTCGGATCTCGAATAGTATCCATTCTCGGCAATTGCTCCCCAGAAATTGCTGAATAATCGGCCTTGTTGTACTAGCATAGGAATTGTAATCGCGCTAAAATAATACAATTAAAAATACTATAAATGTAAAAATACCGTAATATAAAGTCGTCTGGACTATAAAAAGACAAACAAAAATAGTAAATTCCAAAGAAATCCTTCTATAATTTTGCCTATTATATTGAACTTACAAATCATTGGTAATTGATCTTCGAATAAGTTTTTGAATGGCCTCGGGGTCGGTCAAATGAGCTTCGCCATCGATGGATAAGAAATAATCCGTCGATTTCTGGATTCCCCATACACTAAAACAAAATTTGATAATCAAAATTGACAAAAAAATCCAAAATTTTTCTCCCGCACGATGCAAAATTCCCTTACATTGCCTGATTTCTAGCCGCCCTCTCTTCCAAATCGTCCAAATTAAAAATCTCCTTGCTTTTATACTCATCACCATGCTTGGCCAAGAATTCGCTAACATCATCGTAATTGTAGTTCTGGTTATTATAAACAAAAAGATCGATCTTCTCCTTGGGGTAGTCCAATTTTCCGATTTTCTCCAAAAACTCCTCAATATAAGGGATTGGCTTGGCAATAAAGAGGGCCAAAGTAACGGTAGGCAGAGGGTTGGGAATGGGTTTGAGTGGGGGACAGTCCACGCATCCATCCAAGAGATTCTGTTTGCCTCCGATGTAGTTGGCATATTGATTTAGGAGGACTTTGCTGGGCCCATTGCCATGGATGAAGATGGGGTGGGTGTTGTAGACATGGTTGTAGACCTAGAACAGACTTTTTTATACATTAGAAAGAAGAATCAGATTTATTATCAAGTGAATTTTTTAATTTTTGTTCAAAATCATATGATCCATCCCCTCTTACCTCCGGTTTTCCATCCTTCCCCATTTCCATCTTCACATTCGCCCTCTGGCCATTCAAATTCAAGAAGATACGGGCCAAAGAGTCTAGTCCAATCTTCAGCTCTTTCCGCGTCTTCGAGTCCAAGTACAGCTTCGTATAGGCCAGTTGATCATCATCATGATCCCTGGTCTCTCCCAAAATCTCCAACATTTTCACAAACTCCGGTGCGTATCCCATGATCAAGCCCGAATTCAGAAATCTCTCTCCAAATTTGACTTGAGGGTATTGGTTTATAAGCTCCGGTTCGGGCCAACAAAATGGCTCAGCACCAAAAAGAATTCGATTTTCCGGGAATTCCCAGGTAAATCGATCGATTAAAGTGGGAATATCGCCATTGATAACCACATCATAGGCGTCGACAAATAAAATAATTGTCGATTCATCGTTTGCAAGATGCTTGACACCTTCTCGGAGCAACCGGATCTTCTGGCCACCTCCCTGAAACAATCAAAAAAAGCATGTACGGTCCAAAATCAGTTCAAAAATGTCTCAAAGATCCTACCGCGCTCTGCATATCTCCTCCATTCCATTTCTCGCCCATTCCGAGTACATTCAACTCATATTCATAATGTTTCGCCGAAGATTTCAGTCTTTTTAGACCGTCCGTCTCTTCTGTGGCTACAGTAACCAGGTGGATTTTGAGATCTTTTGGTTTGTTCACTGCCAAAGATATTGCAAAAATCATCGCCAAAAAGGCGATAAATGCGTGGAGATTCATTTCTGAGGGATCTTTATCCTTCTGAAAGAATTTTTACATAAAATTTATATTATTCATGAAGATGATGACAAAAAATTTTTTTTGATTTCCCTAAAAAATTTATCAATTTATGAATAAACATAGCCCGTAGCCTACCATATGTTCGTAGACAACAGTTTCAAACATCCTGACCCCCGAAGACACTAAACTTTGATCTGAACCCCACTACTCTTTAAATAACAGCAAGTCATGTCAAGTGGTATATATTTTCGGTAAGTGGTCTAAGTAGAGGTCGTTCTGCGTTCAGAATCTCAGATCTCTTCCTCCTTTTCACGGAAGAAATCGAGGGGTTTACGGACTCGGGCAGAAATTTCTAGAGAAATCGACAAAGTTAATGGTGGATGACATCATTTTTTGGGGTTTTAGAGGTAGAAATAATTTTTAAAATACAATTAACGTATTTTAGGACAATCACTCCTTATTTCAAAATAAAAATTTCAATTTGAAAATCTCAAAAAATTAATGCTTTACCGTAATTTCTCATAATTCTTACCTTTCAATCTACCATAAACAATATTTTTTGTCACAAATTCAAATAAAAATCATTCCAGATCCTCACAAAGTCTTTTACTTTCTCTCTTTCGAATACTTCTGGCTCCCAAAATTTTCCGTTTCTTCCGAATATTCTCCTTGTCTCCGCCCTCTCTTTTAGCCCTGAAAATACGCAAATTTTAGGCAAAAATCGTGCATAAAATCAGAAAAAGAATCGGGGCCCATTCCTCGGCCACAAAAATCACGTTCATTCGGGGTTGGCGGCATTTTGCGGGGCGCTTTCTTAAGCCCCCCACCTCTCTTTTCCGTCCGCTTATTCATATCTCTCTTCTTCGCTTTTCTTTTCAACAGGGAAACCGTGCAGAGCGCACTGACCTCTGGCCAACAGCTGTCCATTCGTCTGTGAAGTTTGGAGTCTCGTTCTTTTCCTGGATTTTGGCTAAAAATCAACTGGAAATACCTCTGATTTATGACTAAAATTTGTAGAAATCCGTCATTTGAAAACGTATCAAAAATAAACTAATCTCTATTTTGGAAGATCGTTAGTTATAAAAATTATTTTAGGACACTATAAATAAGTCATTTCAAATAAAATTCGAATCATAAATTCTCATGGTCTCACCGAAATTTAAATTTTTTTTACCAAACAATCAAAAATCAACAACGTCCTAATGGTAATCGATATAATAAAATCCTCATCGTATTTGAACTCCATGAAGTTTTACCAGCGTCTCCTCAACATTTTTATGTATTTCATTTACTTCTTCTCTTGTCATGATCCGGTCATTCGAGCGGTAAACAATTCGAAATGTCTGCGATTTTTTGCCCTTCTTTTTGTTTTCAAATTCATCGATGAGGTCCACTTGTTCCACCAAGTCTCCGCCCACATCACGGATAATGTCGAATGAATCCGATCGCATGTCATGGAACTCGACGCCTGGGGCCAAGAAGAAAGAAATGTCGCGATGAGCTTGGGGGAATGAACTGATCGGCTTGTATCTAAAAAAGATAATGTTAAAAAATGTTTATTTTCGACAATATAGGAGCAATAGAGCAAAAAAGCAAATTGTAAAAGTAGTCTCAGGAATGAAAATTGTCCCCACTTGTGACTCGGACTCATTACAACAGTTATTCAACATCACTGACGACGCCGGGGTTCGAACCCCCGACTTTCCATATGAAAAGCGGAAGACCAACCGCTGCGCCATGCAAACACACCGCCTCGTTCTCTTTTTTCTCTCTATCTTTTTTCCCAACCAACTTTTTTGGTAAATTCACACAAAACAAGACCAAAGATATGCAAAAAACTATCAACAACTTACTTTATATTATCATTGGGCTTCAACTTCGCAAACTGATGGGTGAATCCCGAATCGGTGGTCCAAAACAATCGAATATCCGGGATTCCATACAGAATCATGGCCAACCTCTCCAATCCAAGTCCAAAGGCCCATCCAACCTTGTCTCCGGCGCCAGCATTCCTCAGTAGATCTTGCTGCATCACTCCACAGCCCAAAACTTCCACCCATTTCCCATCAAATATCACTTCCAATTCGAAACTTGGATGAGTAAAAGGGAAATAGGCATCAACCCATCGCATCTCGGCTTCTTGTCCAAATAATTCGCGAGCTAATGCTTCCAACGACTGTTTCAGATGAACTTGAAGTGCTAGAGCAGTGTCTCTCGAATGACCAGCCTGTTTCTCCGGAGTTTGCTCACCGTTCTCGAAGACCTGGGAATCTGATTTGATGTGTCGACCAAAAAGCTCATCCTGGCTGAACAATCTGACTCCTAAAAATCGAAAAATCCAATAAAAAACAAAGAAAAACTCACCTTCCATCTGATGAAAACAAGGATAATGTGTCCTGTCAATTTCATCCCGTCGATAAACGTCTCCGACCGCCAAGAAGGCATCTAATCCTTTGCGAATCAAAGAAAATTGGTGGGCACTGGTGTGAGCACGCAGACAGGTGTCCTTATTCACATAATATGTGTCCGCAGGCCTCCGACTGACATGATCCTCGGGAATTAAGAGACTATCAAAGTTGTCGAAAGTAGAAACAACGCGGTTTTCGGAGTCACAAACAGCAAAAACTGGTGTCCTGTGATTGGCCCGTCGGTGATTCCTGTGGAAATGGTCGACAATGCGTTGCTTCAGCAGGCTTAAAGGGTTCTGAGGGTCAGTGAGGATTTTCCTCTGGAAAAACATTGTTTTAGCCAACTTTCACATCAAATCTTAAGCTTCCCTCATCAATACCAACATTTGATCGCGAAAGATAAAGTGCGTCTCTAAATCAAAAATTGCCGAAAGTAAAACGTTACCTCCAATAGCCTGTGGATAGGCCTAGTAAGGTTATACCAATCGTCCGTTTGATAACAAACACCATCAACTTCAACCTGGGCAGGAATTTCTCTCACAACATCGGGACGAACTGCAGAAAAACATCGTACAGATGAAAATCTGGTAATTCGGATAAAACTGAGCGACCTCAACATCTATTCCAGTCGATTTACATTAATGTAATATTACCAAACGGACAAACTTCCAATTTTCCGAGAAATTTTCGACAAATAATAATTTCGGGGACAAGACTTAACACAATGTGTCAACTGATTCTGTGGTTTAAAGATACGATGTACAAAGTAGTAGCTACTAGTAGTAAACTGTAAATAGTACCTGGAAACGTCCACGACGGGCTAAGATCCTTCGATTTTATGGATAATTTCGAGTACTGATTGTATCTCAATTTCTTCCCAACCCTTCGATTACTAAAAGCAAGCCATCTTCCAGAATATCTGAATCTTTATTTCAAAAAACTCGTTAAGAATTCACCCGGAAATACAGTAATCTCAATATTTTATCATATACAAGACTATCTACAATATACAGAATAATTTACATAACAAGGTGCGAAGATTGGGAATAAATGACAAGGTTAAATTTGAGAATGATGACTAGATCCACGAAACTGAGCGGTTAGATAATATTTCGATCCTCCATATTGTTGAGAGCGGTTCTGGCAGCACGAATTCCCGTGTAGACGAGTCCGCCGACGGCCAAAGCTCCTCCAACAGACGCGCCCATGCACAGTGCAGTTCCTCCAATGATCACGGAGACAACTTTGTTGGACTGAAACGGAAAAATAATTGGGGATCAGAACTTTGAGTATTGAATTTAATCTCCTAAAGACCAAAAATTTACAGTAAAATTTTACCTGATCACTATCGGCGCATCCATACCTGGACCATTTGGCAAATTGCTCACAGTTGTTGAAAATAAGGTTGTATCCGCGGTTGCCCATCTGGAACGAAAAAAATTAGTCTCGCATCATTTATCACATTTCATTACCACAATCAACTCTTATTGACCTAAATTTCGACCAAATATCATGTAAATCATCTTACCTTATGTTCACAACGCTCCTTCACAATCATTGGTGGGAATGGAGTAAATTCATTGTCCAAAATATTGTTTATACGAACTAAGGAATCGCCAGCGACATTTAGGAACGGATCAACACGGACGTGGGCATCCGACGAACCTGAGAGAAGTTTTCCCTTCAGTTCACCTTTCCCACTTGCAATGTCATCTCCTTCATTTGCAAAATGGCAAACCACTTTTATGCCATCGTCCAAACCAGTGTAGACTGCCCAGTGCTGAAATTGATCCTTTAAAGATTCGAAGAACATGTGAATTGAACATGTTTTTAAAAGTTGAAAGTCAAGGGAAGCATCCTAAAGAGAAGAGAAAAAATAAATTAAAATTACGCAGTAAGTGACAGGTGCTTGTCGATGGAACTCAATTAGATCACCAATTTCGAGGTATGGAAGGAGTTCTTGGCCACTCATCCATCCAGTCTGAAGCCGGCCAGGTTGGAACATAACTCTTGCGCGTTCTCGGCACTCGTCGCAAAGAGGAGCTCTGCGAAGACTAGACGAATCCTGGAACATTTTTAGAATCAAAATAATCAACCCAACTAGCGACAAAAAGTATCCATTTATATTACACTTGAGGTTCACTCGACTAGGAGTGGAAAGTCGCCGCAAAATCTTGCCAGCACTGAAATATAAATCCTCACCGATGCCAAATACTGATCAACAAGATCCTGTTGTCGCTGTTGGCACTCTGCGCACGGAATCCGCTGCACAACGTTGTATTGAATCCGTCCCGGAGTTCTCCGACCCGTGCTGTGGCTGAGAACGGCAGAAGCCACGGAAGATGCCGTTCCCACTGAAAATAGCAGATCAACTAAACGCACAAAACAACAGACAAGAGCTGAGTTCAACGATTCTTCTCCAACTAACACAAAATCGACAACAAAATTGAGGCATAAAAATCTCGTCAGCGCTGACGGTTTTTTCGGGTTTTTGAAATGAAAATTTCCGGCAGAATTGGTGCGACTTGCGCCCAAGGGTGTTTCGAAACAGATGACATCGAGAAATGGCAACGTTGACGTAAAATAAGTACCACAACATAATGTTTAGACCCCACAATCACAAAAAGCATTCTACCACAACATCTAGACTTACTCTAAATCAAATTTCGAAGGATTTTACCGAAATTACTCTGTAAAAAGTATCGTTATACCAAGTAAAGTTATCCTTTTATCTTATTCTTTGATAAGAAATAAAGAGGGCTTGAATTTTCATCGCTAAATCGACTTACCGACCGTCCAAAAGTCCATGTTTCGCTCGAGCGAGGATTTATTTCGAGCTTTGCGAATGTTTTTCTTTTTGAGGAGAAATTGGACGGGTCTCTTCGCTGGTAGCGAAAAAATGAGAAAAGCACATGCTTTCGGTCCGATGAACACAAAGGATTAGGGGAAATGTTTCGGAAATTCAACGTGAATCTTGAACGGGAAACTAAAATACGGATTGCCTTCGTTTAGATGGCAAGTGCCGCAGGGCAGAAGGCATTTTTTCTGATAACTTCTTGCGTGACTTTAGGCCACTGAGGGCAATGTTTAGGAATTATAACGAATAAAATTTTTGATGTTCTGCGATTCGTTTTAAGGAGTTTTTTACTGTATCTTTATATAATCCGTTAGATGGATTAATTATGCCTGACACAATATATAAATATCAATTTATTATAAAATTGGAATACTAAATGACAATATTAAACAATTTTTTATAATCGGTTCAATTTCATTTTTTTGTTGTCATCAGCATCGACAACAAGACGGAGTCCTCGGAATGAAAGTATCGCTCTGCTCTTGTTTCAGTAAGCAGTTCATAAAACCAATTCTGCATGATCGTATCACCTAAAACTACTATTGTCAACTTGTTACAAAACTTAAATCTTACATCCGGAAATTTGTGAGGATCTTGGTAATAATCGATGAATTTCTCGAGGAGCGCTCGACTGACTTCAGGGGGGATTCCATCGCCATAAAAGTCCTTTATTTCATCGTAAATCTGGGCGCATGCCTCTTGCTTACTCTGGCCATAAACTGCGGGTAATTGCAGAGGAATCATGAAGAAAAGAATCGCGTTGGATAACATAGTTAAACGATGATTTCAACCCCATGAATTTTAAATATAGATCGTTATGAAATGGCAATTTAATTAAAATTCGGATGGAAAGATGATGCTCCATCATGTTTATAAATTTTTGCTCAAGCACAGACTCTTTATTATTTTTTTAGTAGCAGAATTGCTTCGTAATTTGCGAAATTTATTCACCGTTCAACAAGTTTCTCAAAATAAATTAAATCTTCAACAGTAAAAAAACTATTCAAATTTACAAATTAGAGACCATTATCAACGTAAACCGTTCTGTAATTCACCAAATACACGGTATCCCTTGATTACAACAATTCTCCGGCTTCACCAATCTTTTTGGCTCCGATTTCTTCGACCAAAACGCTGAGCCAGTTCTCGCGGTCGTCGTCCCAAATAATCTCCACATTCTTTGGTTCGTTGGGGACTGCTGCTATCAAAACTTCACTATCGAACATGTCAATTCCATCCTGAAATTAATTTGAATTTAGTAGACTAACCAATTGATGAAATTTTTAAAATTTTCCCCTTAATCCGCCTAGTACGATATCCAAAAGTACCGTCCCTTATATTTTTTCTTATTCTAAATCAAATTAAAATACCTTGAAGGCATATAAACTCTACCAATTTTCGATTGAAATATCGAAAATTGGACTACTATCATTAAAATTTAAATAATAAGTGAACCAACCGTTTTCTCCTGCAATTCCGGATCATATTTCCTCAAAATCGCGGCGACTTGCTTCAGATTCAAATCCGTGTTCATACGGAAGACCTCGCTGAACGTAACGCTGTGCAATTTCAATCCCAATTGACTTGCGGCTTCATCCGGAGCCACAAATTGTAACTGTTTTGTGTCATTGCTCATGATAAAGCATCCTCGAATTGGACAGAACCTTTTGGAGGCGCGAGGCCCCACAATCTCCATGGATTTTTGGATCAGAGCTGATGGGATATCCACAAATACTTTTAGGGGAGTTTCAATTACGATTGTTTCGCCATTCGCCGGCTTGAAAACGGGGATGTTGAATTGCTGAAAATGGGGAAAATATGAATTAAAATTTAACCAAGAAATGGTATTCATAATAAAGTAAGAGTCATAATCTTTTAAAGAAACCAATAAAAACTGACCTTTTCCACTTTTCCTTTGAGAAATTCCATCTTGGATTCTTCCCCATGCACAAACATAACATTGGATGGCTCGACGTCCCTGATCAACAACATGATGCCCTTGGCATCGGCATGAGCAGAGAATGACATATATTCCACTCTCATATTGACTTCATACTGCAAATCAAACAAAAATCTACATTTCAAACGTTTTTTTATATTACACTTGGCAAACTAGACAAAAAAATTGTCGAAAATGGTAAAAATGCAAATAAAGAATATCAAAAACAAATCAATCCACTCACAAGGCCCTATTTTTTCAACCCCTTACCTCCTTTTGATCGATCATGACCTTCTTCGCGCCAGCGATGACTTTTGCGCCAACTGTGCCGGCAGTACAATACCCCGGCATAATGATCAAATTCTTTTCGTCTCCACACCATTTCTTAAAGATCCTCAACGACTGTCCTCCATGCAACATTCCGGGAGTTGAGAAGACCACCATTGGACCTGGTGCATCAACATATGAGGGATCGAGTGGGGAGATGTGCTAAAACAAGGTAATTTAATAGAGATAGTAAAGTAAAACGATATAAAATCCCCTAAAATGGTGCTGGAGAGTTAGTATATAACTGCAGAAACGATTTGCAAAAAATATAGCGGATTAGTTACACAAAATTCCACAAAAAAAAATCAAAATCTCACCTTAAAGTCGAACATATTCCTTTGGACAAAATTTTTCTTTATTTTCTCATTGGTCCAGCCAATAAACAGTCGATAATACTTGGTGGCACGATCTGCCAGGCCGGCAGAGCAGTAAATCGGGACCTTTAGTCCAAGCCTTTCCCAGTACGACTCCAATAAAATGCATAATTCTTGAACTCGGCCCAAGGCAAAGACTGGAATCAAAACCTTCCCTCCATCAAAAACTGTGTCACTGATTTTTTGGAGGAAATCGCGTTCTCGGGCCCGTTTTGAGTCACGAATTGTACTGGCATAAGTTGTTTCTGTGATAAGGAGGTCGGGCTTTAGACCCGCAAAGACATGAGCAGCACCCAAATGACGATCGGGAGTCATGTTGAAGTCGCCTAAAAATATTTTGAAAAGTAAAAAATAAGAAACAGAAAGAAACAAGTCGTCGCAAAATTTAATAAATTACACATTCCACTTGCCCGTATATAAAACACTTTGGTCCCCAACTCGAATCAAGAACATGGCTGCACCCAAAACGTGACCAGCGTAGAAAGCCTGGATCGAAAACCCTTCATCAATCTCGACGACTTCATGAAGTCCAACCTCGACTACCTAAACACCAATAATATTTCCCATCACAAGTTCGTACCTTTTTCATGCAATTCTTAATCATCTGACTGGTAAAAAAGTTTGTTTCTCCTCGAACTTCAGTTTGAATCTTCCGGTAGTCTTCAAGAAGCACAGGGACAATAGCTTTGGTCGGATGGGTCATATAAATTGAACCTTCGTATCGGCACATTTCTGTCATGTACGGAAGTGCGCCACAATGATCAAGATGAAAGTGGGAGATGATAACAGCATCCAGGTAGCTGGTCAAGTCTCCTCCTCCACCAATATACCTAAAATTTTTATATAAGATGTCTAATTTATATTATCCTTGACGTATTTCTTAAAAAAATAGAATTTCGCAAAGCTTTCCTTTTGCAAATCTTTCGCAAAAGTTTCTTCACAAGAACCAATTTCCGGAAGGGTCGCCAGCTTTATACAGTTTCACTGACTCTTTTCCTAGTACAATTCTTGTTCTTGATACCTAAAATTTAAAGAAAAATCAAATAACTCACGAAAAATCAGGGAATCTTCGTTCATCTTGATAGCCCATGTGCATCCCACAATCCAACATGATATTCTTTCCATTAATTGACAATAATATACAACTTCTACCTACATCTTGTCCCGCTCCTAATGGGACCACCTAAAACAATACAAATTGATGCGAGAAACGAAACCTTCTGATCATATTCAAAAAGTCGATGCCACTTACTCTAATTTTAGGCATGATCCAGTCGAATTTCTCTGCAGAAACCAAAAATTTTTTATCCAAAATTTCGTAAAAATAATATTTTCGTCTTGCAACATAATGCCAAGATAAGCCAAAACAGCGGAAAATTGTCGATTCAAAAGACAAAAAGGTTCAACAAAATAAAAACGACGATATAAGGCGCGTGCGTTCTACTTTTCTTCTGACTTCCTCGCAGAAAACCCGCATTTCTTGTCTGTGGGCCCGCTAGACAAGAAATGCGCAATTCTTGGCTGAGCAGAGAAAAAAAGAAAAAATCTTCACGGGCAGACATGGCAAAAGGGGCCGGGCCCGGGGCCCTTCGGGCCCCAGGCCCGGCCCCCGAAAAGTTGGGCCCGGGGCACCTTCGGCCCGGCCCGGCCCGGCCCTGAGGGGTCTTACGGCCCGGCCCGGCCCGGCCCTCAAAGGTCTTAAGGCCCGGCCCGGCCCTTTTTTTCATTACTCTAAATTTTGCATTTTAATTGCTATTTTTTTTGTTTTAAGATGTTACCACGAAGTTTTCGGTGTTTTACTTGATACAAACGGCCAGCGGTTTCGATATAGGACCAATAATGATGAATAATTGGAGAATTTTTATCCAGATGTCATGGATAATATAATTTACCTTCTCAAATGCTATGCATTGGTTTTTCCTGGAGTCTGGCGATGGATTTGACAATCAAATGGCCTGTCTGATGTTTTCAATTTACTTTCACGACCTTCTTACCTGTGATTCAATTTTCCATCTTCCAAAAAATCATCAAAAATCTCAAAAACGTGTAGAAAACATGAATATTATTTTTAAATCATCAATCTTCTTGTGATTCTTATATTCTTATTACATTTCCAACATGTCAACACTTTTTACGCCGCTCAATTCGTCCTAGTTCGGACGAAATCATCATGGATAATATCGGGGAAACTCAGAAAATCGTCCAAAAATCAATATCAAGCTTCAGAAATAGTTCTAAGTTTCACATATTCTCATTCCCCAAGGACTGCTGGACATTTTCCACTAAAAATCAAAATTTTGATTTTTCTACAGTAATCCATCTACTACGGTAACTCATAGTATGATGGACGGAAAAATTTAAAAATTTGCACAGAGAATTTTCATGCCGTGAGTTATAATTTCGCCAAGTTTCATCCAAATCCATGGACCGCTACCAGAGTTATTGAAGATTATATTTTCCAAAAACTCCTTTTTTGAACCTTCAAAATCGGTTTTTCATCCTTATAGTAACTACTGGGCACATTTTGGAAACCATATCTCAGGCATAAGTTGACCGATTTTTGATTTTTAAAAAGTATTTGGACTAATTCGAGTACTGCGAGCCAAGTTATGACGTTAGTTTTTGCCCTAAGGGGTCAAATATGGCCAAAAACACAATGCCAAAATATTGCCAAAATGGCGGGAAACGGTGTTTTTGATCGAATTTGAGCGGATTTTTGTGTGTTATGGCTTTTGTATATACTCAAGATCTTATGCTTTAAATGTTGTATTTTTCATGGCAGGTTGAGGGTGTTTCATGCTGAAAGTTCTAATCTCAGATTTTTAAGCAGAAAGTGGAATATCTCACCACGATGGAACGTTAAAAATAAAAAAATAACGCGAATGTGCTGCTCAGACACTTCTTCAACTATTTTAATCATGTAACCGCCAAGATCCGTTCAAAGAAAAACTTTCCCGCCATTTTGGCAATATTTTGGCATTGTGTTTTCGGCCATATTTGACCTCTTAGGGCAAAAACTAACGTCATAACTTGGCTCGCAGTACTCGAATTAGTCCGAATACTTTTTAAAAATCAAAAATCGGTCAACTTATGCCTGAGATATGGTTTCCAAAATGTGCCCAGTAGTTACTATAAGGATGAAAAACCGATTTTGAAGGTTCAAAAAAGGAGTTTTTGGAAAATATAATCTTCAATAACTCTGGTAGCGGTCCATGGATTTGGATGAAACTTGGCGAAATTATAATTCACGGCATGAAAATTCTCTGTGCAAATTTTTTTAATTTTTCCGTCCGTCATACTATGAATTACCATAGTAAATGGATTACTGTAGAAAAATGAAAATTTTCATTTTTAGTGGAAAATGTCCAGCAGTCCTTGGGGAATGAGAATATGGGCGACTTAGAACTATTTCTGAAGCTTGATATTGATTTTTGAACGATTTTCTGAGTTTTCCCCGATATTATCCATGATGATTTCGTCCGAACTAGGACGAATTGAGCGGCGTAAAAAGTGTTGACATGTTGGAAATGTAATAAGAATATAAGAACCACAAGAAGATTGATGATTTAAAAATAATATTCATGTTTTCTACACGTTTTTGAGATTTTTGATGATTTTTTGGAAGATGGAAAATTGAATCACAGGTAAGAAGGTCGTGAAAGTAAATTGAAAACATCAGACAGGCCATTTGATTGTCAAATCCATCGCCAGACTCCAGGAAAAACCAATGCATAGCATTTGAGAAGGTAAATTATATTATCCATGACATCTGGATAAAAATTCTCCAATTATTCATCATTATTGGTCATAAATTGAGCCGGTTGCCGATTTATAACAAAGAACATACCAATATCCTTATGAATATACAGGTTTAAGCCAATGGAAGGTCGGGGATTTGTAATGAAAAAATATTTTGGACAAAATTAGTTGAAAAAGAGTGAAACACTGTTCAAATTTGACTAAAAGTTAACTTTTAAAAACTTTTTCGATGTATTTTGTCATTGCCAGTAAGGTTCTAAGTAGTAAATGAGGTTTTCCTGTCTTACAAACCGCTTTTACTTCCAAAAACAAAAAATTTTTTGCTCAAAACAGAATGCCAAAAAAAATTGGCACCCCAATTTTTCGTTTCAAGACAAAAATTAAAAAAAATTTTTTTTGAAGGGGCCGGGCCCAAATTTTTTCAGGCCCCACGGCCCGGCCCGAAAAACCAACCCTAGGCCCCACGGCCCGGCCCCCGGAACGTTGGGCCCGGCCCGGCCCTTTTCAAAATTTCCAAAGCCCGGCCCGGCCCCCCTGCCATGTCTGTTCACGGGGAGAGAGCAGAAAATTGCGCAATATTGCGCAATGTTACGCAATTTTAGACAAGAATTGCGTGTTTCTTGTCTAGCGGGCCCACAGACAAGAAATGCGGGTTTTCTGCGAGAAAGTCCGAAGAGAAGTAGAACGCACGCGCCTTATATCTAAAAAAATATTTCAGGGCAAATCAGTTTATTTAGCGGGAGTACGCTCAATGTTAGTTTCAGATCCGGTTTTGGAATCAGGAGAGCTGCCGGGCGGCTTGGCAATGTTGTTGTTGGGCCCATTGGAGACCTTACTTTCGACCTTGCTCTTCGACGCCTTCGACTCCTTCTTGCTGTTGGCGGACTTCTTGGTCTTGCTGGCTTTGCTCTTCTTTTCCTTGGCCGAGGCTTTGGATTTCATCGACTTTTTGGCCGCTTTCGCCTTCTTCTTTCCTTTGGGGGACGTCTAAAATAATAATAAACGCCAAATCTCGGGGATTTCAATTAATCCCAAGAAATTTAGATCTCAAGAACTTTTAGAAACTCTATAACCAAACGATGAATAAGGTCTGACTTACTCTCGAGTTGCCCACCCTTCCGGAGACAATCAAACAAGCCACCAAAAAGGCCAAGCAGATGATCGTGGCGCCCAAAGCAAACCAGAAGCAGCTAGAATCACACAGGAACGGGTCGACGAATTCTTGGAAGGCCGACTTTTCAGTCACCACTTCAGCAGGAACTTGCGGATTAAATTCCATGGCCTGGATGTCATCGCTGACGATCTTGTCGAAGGCATCGAAGATGTCAGCAGATGAGTCCTGGAAAAAAACGGTAGCTAAACTTTATGAAAAACATACTCAAAAGGTCGATGTCAATACTCCCAGTCTGTCAGCAAAACTCAAAAACGATCGGCTCACTGCATGTCAATCCAAAATAGAAGAAAAAATTTCCCGCCCCTTTTTAGTGATTCGTTCAAAACGAAATGTCACTATCCGATAAAAGGCGTTTTCTTATCTTTCTTCTGCCTTTTCGAGAAAAAGCAATTATTTCGGGCAAGAAAAAGTGCCGATAATTTCGCGGCATTTCGTCTCTGTTTTTTAAATTCAAAATCAATGAAAACGATGCGAAGTTTCGAAACGGTTCAGGAAATGCGCTGGATTGACATACTGTAGCTACCGTAACCCCAACTTACAAATTTATCCACAGCGTTCGGCGAGCCGCCGAGCCTGTTGATCTTGAACGGATAGATTCCAGTCACTCCTGCTGCATAAATGCCGGGACAACGGAAAGGCTCATCCTGAAGACAAAGAACGCATAACAAGTTCATCTCCACCTACCGTAAATTTGACGGTCATGGTATATGTGTAGGCGACATCGAACTCAAATTTAATGCAGGGCAAGGAGTTACTGTCAGTCAATCTGAGGTTCATCCCGTTACAGGTCCGATTGAAGACAATGTTGTACGGAACGTCGCTGGAATCGAGATTAAATTACATTACACATGATGAATTACGTGGTCAGATTCACACCCGAACAGTAGTACACTTCTTCGCCAATCTTTTCGAAAACAACCATATTGAAATCGTACTCCTTGCAACCTTTGACCGCCCTTAAAATATACATTTGAAAAATGGGATAAAAACCATGTTGTTGTAGACTTCATGTAAAAAAATGTCGGCCCAATTCTGGATACTACTGTCTTTCAACAACTTACACAGGCAGGGACATCGGGACATGACAAGGAACGTCCTGAAAGTAACCAAAATTTTTTGTATTTTTTCCATTTTTTGCCAAAACTCACTCCATTCTTGTTGATGTTGACCATCGGGGGATTGTAGATGACATAAGTACCATTCTGGCCATCAGCCACACTAACAAGCAGAAGCAGGGGCACGAAGAGGGTCCACATCTCCGAACGACCGACCATAATCGACCAAAGAAATCAGTCGGAAATGAGGAAAGGCTTCGGATTTTAACGATTTGCGGAAAGGGCAAAATTTTTGCATAGTGTAACTGTGTTTTTATGTTTTTTTTTATTTTTTGTTTTTTCTTGTTATTTTGAATTTCGATTTTTTTATGAAATTTGGCATTGTGGACGAAGAAGGTGTCAAAAATTGCATAATTTTACGACCACTTGCAATTATAAAAATTGTTGTGATGATATTTTGCTGAACGTTTGCTCATTTGTGGCCCATTTTTTAACCGTCCTCTTAATTTTTATAGCCTCTACTCGGTGAACAGATAGGCTCCTTGTCCACATTTTGAACAAAATCGAAAAATTTCTACTGTAAAATTCGATGAAATTCCTAGAGTCTCGCGTATGATTCCATAAGATTTAATCTTAAATTAAGCCAAATTTCATGAAAATCTTCGCTTTACTTTTCAAAGCCTCCACCTTTGATTTTTTCAGATGATTTCCGAAGCTTCCAAAATTTCATAGTTCCCAAGAATACCATTCTTTTCTACGCTGCCCATAACTTTACAATTCTTCCCCTTCTAGTTTGTAATTAACACTTTTCGACAGCAGTCCAATTAAAGTTCAGACATTTTGCAAAGAAAATTGCATCATCCATTAAAATCCTCCGTTTTCCGGGTCCTTCTCCCAACTTTTCGAGCTTTTTGCCCCAGGCAATTTTTATAAAAAACGAATCCTTTGGACTTTATCATGAGGGAAAATCGTCTATTGACCGATAATGCTCAGGAATTAGGAGGTTAAAAGAGCAATCTGTTACTATTTTTGAAAGGGTTTTAGGAAGTTTTGGTTCCTCATTCTTTGTAATGCTCGAGGGGTTCATATTGCCTTACAATTTTGCGCGGTTTATAAAAGATTTAAATAAATTCTTGAAAGATTTTCAAGACCTGCGCTTATCAAGCTTTTCAGACGAGAGCGTGCGGGAAATCCGGAGAGATGGTCAGAGAAGAAATTTGGGCTAGATAGTTGTGGTCTTTGCGCCAAAAAAATGATTTTTTTTGTATGAAATTTTACATTCTTCATGTTGAGGAGCTTAGAAAACTTTATTATAATAAAAATTTGTGCCAACTTTTGCCAGAGTTCAGCCTTCCACCACTGCTCCTCTCAAATAGTATCATAACATCCCCCGAAATGGTTTCTGAATTTATGAATTACGTTCGGAAACAAAGAACGGTATAAAAATGCTAGAAAAGGGTTTATTTTTATCCGCCGTACCTTTGCCGGCTCGTGATTGTAACCTTGATTGACATTCCCTTCCAAAAAAGTTTTCAAAACGGTTCTCTTTTTTCTACAAACATTATTGTAAACAACGTCGACCTCCAAAAAAAAATTTATTGACTGGATTGGTATTCGAATTTTCATCATATTTTTCAAAATAAAAAAAATTATATTTTTTATTTTTTTGGGTGTTCAAACTTTCCACAGGGACTAATATTTGCGATTCTTTCGGTTTCCAACGCCTTTTGGCGAGTTCTCTGTTTGATTTCTGATAAGTTTAGTTTTAATGTCCTGCCCGTTTCAACCCGTATTAAATTCGTTTAAGTGGTCAATAAATGGTCAGTGATAAAGTGGTTTTCGACTTGTGGTTTTCTTGAAGTTTTTGCTTGCTGTACACGCTTATAATCCCGTTATATTCTGCCTTCTGGGACAAGGGTTTCATAGGCTAAATTGGCAATAAACCAGCTTCAATAAAAATTTTATGCGATCGCAAAGTCAAGAGATCTGTTTTTAGAGAAATTGCAACATTTCTTATGCGCCGCTTCCCTTAGCCGGTGTTTTTGTTTTACTATTTTATTTTTTTTTAATTACAAAATGAATATATTTTGGTTCTGAGAACGGATGAACAATAGAAAATCGGAAACAAAGTCCAGGCCAACTTTGAAAAGGGATGACTGTATTTGAAAGTAAAAGAAGAGTTCATTTTGAAGTCAGCGATTATAGTCGACCATGTCGAATGCTATTAATGAGCAGACTTTGACAGGGTTCAATGGATAGTCATCTGAAACAGTTCGTAAACTGACCTCTCAAGATTCGCTCATATTTTTAACAATTTCGCCATACTCGTTCTGTCGATTTCCATCGATTGACCACTCGTCCCTCTGACCCAAATCGAAGTTCTGCTTACGCCACCCAGCACCTCCCACTCAACCCAAATCACCGCCACATGTGTAATATAAAACAATAGGTGTCAATGTTTATTTTTTATTGTCTGTCCGGTCCGGAAGAGTTCTTTATCCCAATTTCTGCGCTCTATTTGGCAGATGTCTTTTTTTTCTGACCCAATATAAAGCTTGAGTTGGAGGATTAAGAAAATAATGGGCTGGTTGATCGGTCTTTTAGTTTGTAGTTCAGAGGGATCCAATTAATCGGAGATCGCTGTCCAAAAAGTCTGTTTTTTGAAAGTTTGGTGTTTGTTAGGTGTTTTCTTTCGATTTAACGGGATTTTGGGGCAAATGAGAGGTTTTAATCCAAACTTTTAATAATTTTTTTAGTTCATGCTTTTTTCAGGGTCAAATTTAATAATTGCTTTATTGAAATTATGAAAAATACAAAGGCCCGAGATTTCATAACTACGTGGTTTTGCCCTTCTTCAATAGCGCCTTCCCAAATTTATATTTGCAGCCCTATGGCCGGCCCCAAAAATGGCCAACCCCGTGATCATCGGATTGGAGTGCCTGGGGCTGTTTCGTTTGTTTGCGGGGCCATCATCGGCTCCGGAATCTTCCTTTCGCCTTCTACTGTCATGAAAGCGACTAGTTCGGTAAGTTTAACTTTTTTGTCATCGTTTTTTGTTAAGTTTTGAAATGAACTTATTATAATACAGGGTGTTTCAAGAAATTTGGCAGAAACTAGTTGCGAATATTTCTGAGCTCTTGCTAGTTATCGCAGAAATTCTTTTTGTTTCTGAAACTTGACAGCGGGCGGTTTTGTACTGAACAAAAAAATTTTTTCGTCGGCGGAGAGGCCAGTTCTCGGCGGAGGCATTTGGGGCCTTTTTTAAAAATCACACCTTATTACATCGTGGAAACTCTGTTACAGTGGCCAAAATCATGTTTACGTTAAACCTCCGTGGATTTTGCGGTATGCTTTTTTTGCGTTTTCGATTTTACACAACATCCGCGGAGGCGCGGCGGAGACCTCAGATTTCGGCGGACTTTGTTTTGGGCCCTCGGTTTTTGCAAATCCATGTTGGAAAAAAGGTTGGGGCGATTTTTTGTTGTCATCCGATGCACAGAGGGCAAAAATTTTGTACTTTTTTCCCCGGCGGAGGATTCGGCGGAGGCTTTCTCAAAGGGTCAAAACAAAATTTTGACTCTTTTGATAAAGCCTCCGCCGAAACCTCCGCCGATGTGTCCGCCGGATCAAAAAATAAGAAAAATGGTGTTGCTGTGATGGATTCTTGTAGCTGAGTTTTTTCCCGGACTCCTAAGACTGTTCTGACCCTTTGGTAAAGCCTCCGCCGAATCCTCCGCCGGGGAAAAAAGTGCGAAATTTTTGCATCTGTGCATCGGGTGACAACAAAAAATCACCCCACACTTTTTTCCAACCTGAATTGAATGATCCAAAGGCTCAAAACGACGTCCGCCGAAACCTGAGGTCTCCGCCGTGCCTCCGCGGATGAGCGAAAATCGAAAACAAAAAAAGCATACCGCAAAATCCACGGAGGTTTAACGTAAACATGATTTTGGCCACTGTAACAGAGTTTCCACGATGTAATAAGGTGTGATTTTTAAAAAAGGCCCCAAATGCCTCCGCCGAGAACTGGCCTCTCCGCCGACGAAAAAAATTTTTTTTTGTTCAGTACAAAACCGCCCGCTGTCAAGTTTTAGAAACAAAAAGAATTTCTGCGATAACTAGCAAGAGCTCAATAATATTCGCAACTAGTTTCTGCCAAATTTCTTGAAACACCCTGTATAATCTCTAGATGGGCCTGGCGTTGACTATTTGGGGCGTGTCGGCAATTGTCTCCGTAATGGGAGCGTTTTGCTATGTCGAACTTGGCACTGCTATTCAAAAATCGGGCGGGGATTTTGCTTACATGCAGCACATGGGATGGTAAGTCAGCAAAAATCATTGAATTTGACTGTGAAATCGTTACTTCAGACTTTGAAAAACATACTTTTTCAGGAAGAAAATTTCATTTTCATTTGGAGCCATGTTGTCGACCATCTTATATCCGGCTACAACGGCTATTCAATCGCGAACTTTTGCCGAGTATTTGGTTGAAGGTCTCAGAATGAGGTTTGAGAATGAATCGCAGGCCTACTGGTATAAGATTGGAATCAGCTTCTCTCTGGTTTGTAAGTTGATGCAAAATTTATGACAAAAAAATTGATACCAGTTTCAACTTTCCTAATTATGCACTTCCAGTATTTCTCATGTGCCTCAACTTCTTCTCCATTAAAACCGTCGTGTCTCGATTCCAAATGGTGGCCTCTTGTGCCAAGGTCTCATCGACCATTCTTGTGATTTTGGTCGGATTCTACTGGTTGATCTTTTATCAGAAGACCGAAAATCTCTCGGAGCCTTTTGCTGGCTCCAAGGCTGATCCCGCTTCTATTGCCAGTGCTTTCTTCGCCGGTTTATTCGCTTACGATGGCTGGGATGTTCTGAATTTGGGAGCTGAGGAAATAAAAAATCCTAGACGGTAAGAGGAATTGATGACTTTGAAATGTCTCCCTAATTTTTCAGAACATTCCCTCTGGCAATTTCTCTTGGAATGGGACTTGTTGCAGTTATCTTTGTCCTGGTCAACCTTTCGTATTCAATTATTTTGACAGTCCCGCAGATTCAAGGGTCAGATGCTGTGGCGATGGTAAGTGGAGTAGCTCTTATATGACTAGAAATGTCATCATTAATCTATTTATAATATTAATCAATAATTAATCGATCATTTCAGATCTTTGCCCGTGAAGCCATGGGACCCTTCCAATTTATCATGCCTTTGATGGTATCTGTAGTTTTGATCGGATCCGTTAACAGCAATTTATTCTGCGGATCACGGTAAGTGTAATGCCAATACATCGTACTTGGAAGCTCTCTTTTACCAAATCCAAACCATTTTCCTTTACTTTACAGCAACTTTTTTTTCAGAATTACCCATGCCATCGCCCGTGCTGGCTGTCTTCCGCCGTTCCTTTCTGTGTGGAATCCCACTCATGGCTCGCCCCGAGCAGCCATCGTATTCCAAGTCGTCCTCGCTTTCGTTATCGCTCTCTCCGCCGACATTGCGCAAATGCTCAACTACGCAGGCTTCACCCAATGGGCTCAGCGAGTCGTTACTGTCTCCATTCTGTTATACATCCGATTCAAAGGCCTGGAAGTGTCGGATCAGCGGATTCGAAGTCCAATCATCGTCCCGATTGTCTTCTTTTTATGCTCTTCATCGTTGGTGCTGACCTCAATCCTCAGTCAGCCGGATGTCGCGGCCGTTGGGCTGGGACTGCTGATCGGCGCGATGACTGTTTATATGATCTTCGTCCATGAAAGCGCTTTGCCCAGATTTGAATGGTACAAAGTGTTGGTCAACAATGCGAATCGTAAGTAATTTCTGTAGCAATAAAGTCACTGGATTGCAGAATGTCTCAACAAATTTACGGAATGGATTCTGAACGGGGAAGTACAACAATCGCAGATTCTGAACACCCAAGAAGAAGAGAAAAAAGAGGAATCGGAAGAGCCTCTCAATCCAGTAAATCCAACGGTTGAAGAGGACCAAGATACGGACATTACTGCCGAAGGAAAAGTGTAAAAATTGTACATATCTTGATCAGATAAATATAATATATTTCCATGCTATCTTCAAAAGAAAAAAAGCCGTCTTGAGACCGTGACACAACGCCGTAAAAATAATAAAAAAAAATTAATCTAACAGTTGAAATGGCTAGCTGTTCTGTAAGTAATATCAAGTTTTGATAGCTTTCACAAGGTGTTGTCTAGGACAATGCAATGACGGCCTTCGCGTTGCGCAAAAACATAAATAAAAAATTTCGCAATAGACATACTTATTGTTAGAAAAGTATCGTGACCGATTAGAAATGGACTAAAGTAACTCAGAGCTCCGAATTTTTGTGACAACATAAGTTTATCCTTCAATGAAATATAATTATGAAAAGCTATGATACAAGTTTCTACGAAAAATTTACACGTCGAGTTTGTTATAGATATCTAGTATAATATACATTAGTTGGGCTGTACATATTGCTCACTTCCACAAGTCAAGGACGACCCGACCGTTGATCTGGTATTTCTGCATTCTCTCGTAGATGGCGGGGAGTTCGGAGAGGGGCGCCACTTCCGTTGGGATCTTGACTTGGCCTCGGGCGAAGAATTTGAGGGCTTCGTCGGTGTCTTGGCGGGTGCCCACATACGATCCCTTGACGGTGATGGTGCGGATGACGGTGAAGAAGACGTCGAGGGAGATCTTGGCGTCGCGGGGCAGCGCGACCAGCACCACGGTTCCTCGGGTCCGCACGTACTTGGCCGACTCTTCCATGGCTTTGGCGGCGGTGGCGACGTTGATAACTCCATGCGGACCACCTTCGGTCAAGAGTTGGACGGCGCTGACCAGGTCGTCGGTCTTGAAGGGGTCGATGAAGAGATCGGCGCCGAGGGATCGGCAATGTTCTTCTTTGTTTCCGGCGTCAATGGCCAGAACAATCATCCCCATGGCTTTGGCGTATTGGATGCAGAGGGAGCCAAGGCCACCACCGGCACCAGTAATGGCGATAGTCTCACCCGCATGCACATTCGACTCCTTCAGGGCTTTGTAGACCGTGACTCCCTGCAAAATATCGAAATTAATTTAAAAATGATCACTTATAGCACAAGACCCAAAAATGTAGTCTGATATGTAGTCTAAACTATCTGTAGAAAACTTACAGCGCACAGAATAGGAGCAACATTGGCGAGATCAACTCCTTCTGGGATTAGAGCGGCTTCAGTGGCCTTGACGGCGGCGTATTGTTGGAAAGATCCATCTCGGGTGAAGCCGGAGAGAACAACGTTGTCACAGTTGGGCTCGAAGCCGCGTTTGCATTGCTCGCAGCACAAGCAGGACCCGTTGACCCACTGAAAACACGATTTTAATAATTTTCAACTCTTTTTGAAAAACATTTTATCAATTTATCTCTACCTAAACTAGCGACGAACTTTTGTTTCTGCCTAAATTAATGCCAAATGTCAAGTCCACTCACCTTGATACCCGCTCGATCTCCAATCTTGAAGTTGCTGACATTGGATCCGACCTTGACGACAACTCCGGCTCCTTCGTGTCCTCCGACAATTGGTGGGGGCTTGGTCTTGAGGGGGAAGTCGCCCAGCCACACATGCAAGTCGGTGTGGCAGACGCCGGAGTAGATGACCTTCACCAGGATGTCATCGGCGCCGATCTCCGGGACGGGGATCTCGCGGATGTCCAGTTTCCCGCCGAACTCGTCGAAGACGGCGGCGCGTTGAGTGGCTGGGATTTGTTCGGTCATGATGCTCTGGGCTTGGACTCGATGAAAGCGTGGGTCGTTGAGGCTGACTTGTGGAGTGGTTGAGAGTCCACGCAAACGGCGTGGCGATTTATAGGCCCGCGGCAGGAGCGGGGCCGGACGCGGGAGTCCGCCCAGCAGGCGCCCGGCCCCGCCCCACGGAGAGCGCTGATTGGCGGAGAAGATGGATCGAAGTGTCGGGAGCCTCGTGGTCGCCATGTGACGCTGTAATGTGCAAGCTGCCACAAAGTACACACAAACAGCAGGGCCGCGATTGGGATCACGGAAGTTTTTGGGGGGCGGGGACCGACCGAGCCCCGCGAATTCTGTTTTTGCTCTGATTTCTGGTGCAATTCAGTTGGAAATGGCCTCGTGGGGAATAAAGAGAGGTCAGGCTACGAGAGTTCAAAAGAAAAACGGCCCGATGGCCGGCGGAAATGATCGTTTTTTGAGCGAAATCTCTGATTTTTGGGCGAATCTTTTTGTGGGTAAATGTTTGTTGGAGTATAAACAAATGGTGTTCTAAAAGCGTGATAGGGACTTGCAAAGTGTGTTGAGACATTGTAAAGTATCGTGGTGCAAATGTGCCTCCAATGGGGAAAGCAACGTGCTTCTGTGGTTTAATACAGGAGGATCTTTGATGCAGCGAAAGGCGAGAGAATTGATGGGAAGGGAAGACGGAGCAGGAAGTAGAGTGTGTGCAAGCCGTGGAAGACCCAATGGAACAATGTGACTTGTAGCATTCGATGTGTTAAACTAAGGAAACAACGAGAAACCTTATCAGCGCTGATGGGAGTTTTGATGCGAAATGGGGCGCGATGGCGTGGGATAAGGTGAGATAAGGGCGAAAATGGGCTTATTATGTCAAAAAATCATACTTTTGGACCTTATTGAACCATGGGTTCATAAGGCAATTTGCCAAGTGCAATACAAATTTTCTTCAAAGCCAACCAAAAACTAGATGAACCTGCTTCTAGAAAAGAATAAATTATCCTATAAATGGCCTAGTCCCAAAAGGAACGCTAGGATTTTCTTCATTTAGCTGACTTTCTAACGTAGGCAAGACTTTTCTACTACTCATTGATCAAGCTGTTGAGTTTCAACAAACCTAATGCAACTTGTACTGAGCACACTGCACATTCATTAGTAAAGCTCTGTGACTTTCAACTGATACAGCTTGATTAGAGGTAGGAAACCGACGGTTTCATATTCGACAAGATGTTTGTTGTCAGTCGTATTTTATGAGAAAAACCCGTGAAAAATTTCCGGACAATTTTACCTTCTAAAAACGACTTTTAAGCCCAATATTAGAGAAAAAATTAATAGTTTTAACCATGAAGTTATTACAATTCAAGCCTGAATTTTCAGAGCTCATAAATTGTTACATTACTTTCGCATTTCCGAATCATAAGTTGGTCATGACCTTGAACCTATCCCAAAAGTAAGACCAAATGCGCTATTTTTAGCCTAGACTAACAAGTAAGAGTAATTTTAATACCAAATATTTTTTTTTGCATAATTACCCGCGGAGGAATCACTCGGGCCCAGCAGAGAGGTTTTACTTGCCAATTTTCCAATTTTTTTTACTCTAAAGTAACATAAAAGTAAACTTCTCCCTGAATTTAAGCCAAGAAAATGTACAGAAACATGGCAATGCAGAAGTGAGATTCCGAAAATAAAATAACATTTTTTCCAATAATTTTGTGACACTTCGTCCACAACTGTTACTAAATGTCACTAAATCCGGCTGATTATTTTTACTTTTTGTTTCTAGGATTTTCCTGCCAAACTTCGACCGGATTTTACGTTTTCTACGTACATGTTCAACTTCCTTCCTGTTTACGGCTAAAATTCCCTTCCCTTTTTGTTACTTCCAAACTTATTTCTGTCAAAAATCGGAGATCGTCCTGTCATCAAAATTGAAGTACGTTTTGTTTGGTCACTTTTGATGAGTTTTTTGTTTGAAAAGTTCAAACGGCTTGTGAATTACTGCAACTTTTGGTTTTAGATATTTTAGTTGTTTATAAACAAAAAAGAAATTTGGAATCGCACGTCCTATGCAACAGTAATACGAATATCTGCTGAATTCTTACAACTTTTGCTACGAGTATTTGTTTTCGATGTCCGCACTGATTTTTGTTGATTTCTGCTTGAACTTTGAGTTGAAAAAATTGAGAAAAGATGGTGGACTGAACTGTGCAAAATTTTGAGAATTTTTATTGCGCTGTGCATAAAAAGTTTATGCCTATATAAACTTGACTCAAAATTTAGGTAAAATGAACCAAATTTCAATTTCCTAGGGTTCCATCCTCAAAAGGAATCCATAATTTTTCCGAATTGAACCGCACTGTGCGAAAATTTTAATCTAAAATTTGATTGCACGGTGCATTTTCCGAAATTTTTAGGCATGAATTTACTGTTCCAAATTTCTTTCCTAACGGTTTCAGAGGTCTTGTGAACATGTTATTTGCATAATCATCCTACAGGCATTTCCGTTTTCACCGCTTTTAAGGTCCTTTCCCTGAATTTTCCCTCCAAATCACTGGTCCCCATGTGCTCGGAGAAAATTTCTTTTTGTTTAAACAGCCGTGGAAGAATGTTTTGTTCTCCCCCAATCGAAAATAATATCAAGAGAGTGCGCTGTTTTCGATCACAAATAATCGACGATAAGCGGTTCTCCGTGCCGTTCTTTGGGTGATGTGCACGTTTTTCGGTCCAAAACTTGGCTTCGTTCGGTTGTAAAAAGACTGAGAGAGGCGAGGAATGGGGGTGACTGATAAAAGAATAGGGCGAAAAGTGTAAGGCTAAGTGTAAAGTGATAAACAGAGGTGATTTGCAGAGGCATGGTTTGTCATTTATAGTTGAGTGGAAATGACAGACGGAAATAGAAATAAAAAATCGGAAAATAAATTCCTAAAAGTAAAAACGAAAATCTATTTGATACTATTAATAACAGGGGAAGTACTCCAAGTGCGACGCTCAGATTTTGATGAAACTTGGCACAAATTTAGAATAATTTTTTCTGATATATGCGGGAATCGTAGCTCGCGCTTTGCAGAAACAAGATTTTTAGATCGAAAGTCGGCGAAAATTTAGGACTTTTTACGAATTTCGGCACGAAAAGTTTCATGCCTATTTCAACTGTAAAGGATAATGTTTCTACAAAAAATCAAATTTTTCCGCACGAAACTGCCAAAGTTATGGCCAAAAAGCGTTTTTGTCTCTGACCGCTCTCCACGTTTAGCGTACTCTCTTGGCGGAAAAAATCGTTCGATATCTCGGCGGCGCCCACAAAGCGCGAGCTAAAACTTTCAGGAATTGATATTTAGTCCATACCCGACGTGTGTGCAAAATTTAAAGAAAATCTGAGCGTCGCACATGGAGTACTTACCCTGTAAGAAATAATGAATTATCATACTGCGTAAAACACAAAGACTTGACAGGCATACGAAAAAAATCATGGTTATAAAAATTGACTAGAATTGAAAAGTCAGAGGTCTGTTTCGAGGGTTTCTATTTAAAACACGATTTTTGAGTCAGGGCACCAGCGGTGGTCTTAGGAAAAAATCGATTTTGAGATTTTTGGCTTAAAATATTCGGTAGCACTTGTAGAAGAAAAGCTAAAAATATTTTTTTCTAATTATGCCCGGAAGGCATATTTTTTTACAAAATACGTTTTTACACTTCAAAGCCTCTGGAGGCCGATGTGATCCGACCACAGAGATTAAACCGGGCATACAGGGGTTTTTGACACCCAGGAATCTGAAAATCGTAGCCTTTTTACCGTCAGATTACTGTAACATGGTCATACTGTAATCCGGTCGATAAAAATCGACCATAACTTCTTTAGATCAAAAATGCCACAGGATTTTATTGCAGATTCGGAATCAGCATAAAATTCTGCTTCGGATAGATGGAAAATATGTTCAAAATTCCGTGGCCCAACCTCTGTAGTATAGTGGTTGTGCGCCAGGATTATCAATCTGGCGACCCAGGTTCGATTCCCGGTGGCTGCAAATGGCAGAAAATGGACTATAAAAGGGCGGAAACTTGGAAAAAAGGGAAAATAAATTGCAGAAAATTAATTTTATGCTACTTAGGACCAGTTTAAAAGTTTTTGCAAGAATTCCGCATAAATTACGGTTTTTATGGAAAACGCCTTATACACTGCTCCACGAAATGATAGACGCACCCTGTTTTTAGCGATTATCTTCCTTGTACTAAATGATATCGAATAATGTTCAACAGATGAAATGTGGCAAATTAAACGAGAATTCATGTCCCGTAGCGATTTTGGAACAAAATTTTGCCTTGACTGAGATATGACATTTTTAGACTTTTTTGGGGTCCACAAAATGATAGACGCAATTAAGTAATTTTTTGTTTATTTAAAAGAATTTTGGGTTAACCTGCTCTTATTACACTTCCTCGTGTTCTCTGTAGTATTAGAAAGGTAATTACATTTATATCCGCCGTACTTCATCGACGCAGCGGCCTTATGAGCCATTTCCGACCTTGTACATGAGGTAAATATTCGGTTTGAAAAAAACTGTAGGTGATTCTGTTTTCTTGGGCGAAAAACTAGCTAATACCATCACATTATACGTGTAGATCTCACTGATGAAAAAAAACGGCCTGCTCAAGGATCCCGAGCATTTTCTTGGAATATCATCTTCAACAACTAGCTACCTTAATACTTTTAGACCCCCGAAATACCAAGGCGATCAAAGAGAATGACAAAATTTAATTTGCAAATTCGAACTGAGCATGCCTGAAAACGTAATGTTTTAATCATCAGCCGTTACAGAATACCTTTGGTCGGTAACGTCGTTCGACAAAAAAAAGTTCACAAAAATAGGCTTGTTTTTACACGTTTATCTTTAATCAATCATCTGTCAATCATCATGACATTTAAGCAGGCAATAAGTTGCGGTTTTAGGTTTGTTAACATGCTGAGTTTGATTTTTTGAGCAAAAAATTGACATCGATAGTAATCTTCTGTACTTTTAGAGCCTTTGAAGGTTACTGTAGAAGGTATACGGTAACTTAATGGTCGATTAAATGACTTCAAGCGAATCGGTATTGGTTTATTTTATGTCTTATATTTGCAACTAGTAATCTATGATGGTTTAAGATGGCTTTTTGGCGAAAGCAAAATCGTTAATCAAATTTTTTTTTCAAACGAATTTTTACCCCATGTACAAGGTCGGAAATGGCTCATAAGGCCACTGCGTCGATGAAGTACAGCGGATATAAATGTAATTACCTTTCTAATACGACAGAGAACACGAGGAAGTGTAATAAGAGCAGGTTAACTCAAAATTCTTTTAAATAAACAAAAAATTACTTAATTGCGTCTATCATTTTGTGGACCCCAAAAAAGTCTAAAAATGTCATATCTCAGTCAAGGCAAAATTTTGTTCCAAAATCGCTACGGGACATGAATTCTCGTTTAATTTGCCACATTTCATCTGTTGAACATTATTCGATATCATTTAGTACAAGGAAGATAATCGCTAAAAACAGGGTGCGTCTATCATTTCGTGGAGCAGTGTAGCTTGCCGGAAAGTGGAGCAATCTGGTAAAAATTAACAGAAGAGGTTACTGAGGCTTCCTACTACGAAATAAGTCCATTTCTGCTTATTTCGTTAAATGTTTGGGTTAGCCTGGGCTTTCTTGCAAATTCGGGATTTTAAGAAGGCGAGCTGCGGCCGAGGTTTATCGAACGTAACAATATTTGACCAAAAAGTCATATAAGATTCACAAAAAGTCATATAAGATTCCCTAACAGCACCAGGATCACACAGCTTGTAAAACTTAGGCCGTCTTGCGTATCCCACGAAAAACGGAGCGCGTGGACGCTCTAATGGTAAATCTACATGGAGACTCAGTTGGTAAGGAACAGAGGCTAAACTACGGGACTGGAACATGCGTGCTTCCATCTGAAAATTAAATAACTGTTTTATTTTGTTTTGTATTGCATTCCTCGGTGGATATGATGAACATTGGATAGCAAGCGCTATGTAGATACACCACAACTCTTTAGTTGCCATTTGGGGCGATCTTACGAATGCTGTGAGGCGTTTTCCATAAAAACCGTAATTTATGCGGAATTCTTGCAAAAACTTTTAAACTGGTCCTAAATAGCATAAAATTAATTTTCTGTAATTTATTTTCCCTTTTTTCCAAGTTTCCGCCCTTTTATAGTCCATTTTCTGCCATTTGCAGCCACCGGGAATCGAACCTGGGTCGCCAGATTGATAATCCTGGCGCACAACCACTATACTACAGAGGTTGGGCCACGGAATTTCGAACATATTTTACATGTATCCGAAGCAGAATTTTATGCTGATTCCGAATCTGCAATAAAATCCTGTGGCATTTTTGATCTAAAGAAGTTATGGTCGATTTTTATCGACCGGATTACAGTATGACCATGTTACAGTAATCTGACGGTAAAAAGGCTACGATTTTCAGATTCCTGGGTGTCAAAAACCCCTGTATGCCCGGTTTAATCTCTGTGGTCGGATCACATCGGCCTCCAGAGGCTTTGAAGTGTAAAAACGTATTTTGTAAAAAAATGTGCCTTCCGGGCATAATTGGGCAAAAATATTTTTCGCTTTTCTTCCACAAGTGCTACCGACTATTTTAAGCCAAAAATCTCAATATCGATTTTTTCCTAAGACCGGGCCCCACTACTGGCTGACGCAGTGACTCAAAAATCGTGTTTTAATAGATCCTTTATAGCCATTGATCTCATACTCTTTTGTAATTTTACAAATTCTATTTAATAATGTAATAACTTTTAAAAATTTTAATTTTTAATTTTACACCTTCCATGATCTCATTTTGCCTATCTTACAGATCAGAATTTCCTAACAACAATGTATGTTTGCCCTTTCCCGTCATGATTCTCTAAAGCAATTAGTTTCCGAATGTTATCACCTCTTCTCATTTACAACAAACATTATCTGCACTTAATGGCCGGGCCTTGCCTGTCCGCACCACGTGGTTCTTCTCTTTTCCGATCCCCAAAGACCATCAATTCCGAGTGTTTACAAAAAATGAAACAAAAAAAGGGGATCGTTTATCAACTTCTTCCAACCGTTACAAAACAACAATTCAAGGGCCATTTGGGGGGAGAGATCCTGAGAACAAAAATGGGTGTAAAAAATGTGCAGATCCTTGATAGGCGTTGCAACGACTGCAACATTTCGGCAATGGCTTTTGCCTTTTCGATCTCAAAAATTCATTTTTATGTCACCTATTTTCACTTGATTGCTTTTAACGTCCTAAACTTCCGCCTTCTCTTCTTTTTATCTCTAATTTTTGCTCTATTCCTATTTTCTCCAAACAAGCGAGGCCAAAGAGTCATGGCCACGTTTGACGAGAGATTTATGGCCCTCCTCAGGGGTTCTTTTCTTAATTAGTGATTGATCAGCACGCGTGGGGATACGTATTCCCCTAGATTTGCTGACATAAATCGCTCGGGAATGATACAAGTTGTTTTGGAAAGGTTTTTTTGAAGGAATCAATGGTTCAGAAAGGTGAATTCGAAATTTCATTCGTTTTTTTGTAAATTTGATAACTGTTTTATCTAAAAATTCTAAAATAATTTAACTTTTGACAAAACTACACGATTTTCAGTTTAAAAATAATTTTTTGATGATTTTCGTAAAATAATTTATTTCATAAATTAAATAAAACAACTTATTTAATTTATTTTTATGGCCAAAGATTACTTTAATCGATGGTTTCAGCTGGAAACCCCCACAGAAACTTCGAGAAAAGAGAAGACAATAGAAAACCAATGGAGTAAACAAAGAAACAGATAAGAATCCTCATAAATTCAGGTTCAAAATGTCATAAGCCGTCTAGATAACATCCCAAAAATCTCAAATCGTAAGCGAAAAAAGGAGAAATCAAAACGCATCAGAAAAGTTTCCAGATACAGCGGTTTCAATCATATCACGTATAACAGAAAGGAAATTGTAAACAAAATAAGATGAATCGACGGGAAGAGCAAAATTTGTAAATCTGAAGGGGTTGTAACATCAAGAAAAAAATAAAAATAAAATAAAAGCGGATTTTCTTTGAGTAGCGCACTCAGAATTGATTAAAAGTTTGCATTCGAGATCTGAACTAACCCCGCGGCAGATCCAAAAATTCTCAGAAAACGCACTATGCAAATATCCGGGACTTTACGCCGTGAGTATTACGCGAATTCTAGAAAATTTCAAAGCCAAGGAGCGAAAAAGGCATGGAAACAAACATTTTTTCTTCATGCTCTCACCAAAAACGTCGTTCTCGGAGTTCTTTTTGCACTATTATACCAAAAACAAAGTGTTATGGACAAGTAATGAGGGGCCAAAGCAGTAATTCTACTGTGGATTCAATTAACTTTAGAGGGCAAAGCGTTCAAAGCAACGAATAGAACCAAAAATTAAGATAATTAAAGAAAAAAACTCATTTCATTAAAAAAAGCGCCCAAAAATCCTCAAAATCTCTCAAAACCACCGCAAATTTTGGTTAAATACACTTTATTACGACATAATACGATAGGATACAAGGGTTAAGGTCACACGATAGAAGTATGCAGTTAATATTCTAGTAAAATTAATCTAAAATGCTATTAAAATCAACGTTATAAACTATTCTACACGCGTTTTGGGGGTGAGTGTAGGGGGGAAAACGGGGGATGAAAGAGCTTCAGACAGGGGCATCGACTTGTGAAACAACATATTATTGTGGATTGGGGTGAGTGTGATTAATCAGGATAATTAAAACAACAATCATTAAAGGCTTAATATACAATAATTACGGGTATATTAACGTTAAAGGCTTCGATGACACACAGAGAAAAGAAAAAAAACGGACCTTATACTAGACAACAATCAAAATCGAGCAAAATATAAAAAAACTTAATCAAATTTTGATCCCAAAACGAGTCCAAGGGCTCCAAAATTCTCTCCGTGTCATCAATTCCGAGTCCTCACTCAATGAACAAGACAATTCAACAGCTATTCAAAATCTCCGACAACTACATGATATTACTGGCGATGGGGCGACAGGCTATTTATGTACACGGTAATCAATCCTAGTCAATGTTGGGAGCCAGCCAACCTCCTCACAGGTCGATCTCCAGGGCCCGGGCCACACTTCTGGCCAGTTGTTCTCCTTGTTCTTCGGTTCCACTCATCGGACTGTTGGTCATCATGAACGGATCGTCGTCATTGCTGGACAAGGAACCGGGTGTCGAACGCATCAGGCCAAACTGATGCGTAAAGGTTCCTGGGGCCGGGCCGAAGGTGGGCATCGAGTTATGGAAGGCCAAATGGTTGGATTGAAGATGTGGAGCGGCTGATTGGAGGTTGCATTGTAATCCCGGCTGCCCCATCATTGTTTGACTCAATCCTTGGCCAAATGGAGGACTTAGCGAGGCCAGAGATAGGTCATCATTCCATGGCCAGGAAGGGTTGTTGGCTGTTCCAGTGGACCCTAATGAATTGGACGATCCGAAGGCTGAGGACGGAGCCGAACTGGTCGAGAAGGAACGTCTCGAGCCAAAGTTCTGTTGCTGGATTGCCTGCGGGATTGGGTGGGCGGGGCGTTGCGGGAGGGCCATTTTCTGATCAAAGAACCCGGATGGACTCCAAAGATGGGTCATTTGTGGTGGTGGTGGTTGGGGAGCCATCGTCGGGGGCTTCATGTCTGGCAACGAGTTGGGGCCGTACTGCTGACGGATCATCTCCAGCTGCTGTTGCAGGGCCGAGGCTTCGTCTGAGGATGAATACTGAAAGAAATCAGTCAATATTTCCTGTAACTCATCTTTTGTTTCACTCAGAGGTAAACTATAGCCAAAGTAAAAATAAAAAATCTCAATTCCTACCGAGTTGCTGGGGGTTTTGCATGGGGCGGGATGAATGAAGAGACACCTGCTTCCATATGGACATATTCCAGTCGTCGTGTACTTGTCGCACAGTTTCGTCTTGTACTTGAGATTGTTGCGGACCTGGGTCGTGAAACTGCAACTACAGAAATTGAAATCCGCTCAGCAAAAATTCGATTATATTCCCCATGCCAAATACACCAAAAAACTAATCAAAATCCCAGTTATAAACCCCCAATCGTTCCGTCGACTCACCGCACCGGTCGTAGTTCATGTTCGCCATGAGCAAATTTGCAATTCTCGCCGAAAGAGCACTTCATCGACTCCAACCAGGCCTGGCACATCACCGTTTTGTAGGTGTCCGGCTTGGCTGTTTTTCGCGGAAAGCCGAATGTGTGATTGCCAATGGCATTCTGGACTCGAGTACTGAAAGAATTGAAATGATCAAGTAAAAATATTATTTTAGGCATAAAAAAATTTCTGAAGAAAAAAACTGGGAATTTTGATAATTTTAAAAGGAAAAAATTTGCCTCATTCAATACTCAGTTTTATAAGGGCGTAATTCAGCTAATACAATCCGCTTCCAGCTCAATAACGTCAAACAAACATCAACAAATAGCGAAAAAGTGAAAATTCAGGCCTGAAATAGTATCCTAATATGAGATCTCAAGAAAACCGTTAATTTCATGCCGAAACCGATATTTAAAAAGCAAAACAGCTGTATTTTGAGGTCCCATTCTTAAATAAATTCAAAAGAACCGCATCCTTTTACCTAAAATACGACAAAAACACTTAAAAACAAAACTTACTTATTAATGTCCGGATTAATGTACTGAGTAAGGTCGGAGAGAGGCCCACGTCGCATGATGCCGTCCATGTTCTGTCCTCGCTCTCTATAACACCAAAACGTCGTTAATTAATTAGTGGCTTAGATACAATAGAGATTCTTGTCGGCGAGACGTTAACAAAATTACTGGCACGATGAAGGGAACGACCGTGCACACCCCGAGAGATGGTTTCAACTAAACCGGAGCGGTCGATTATTACATTTCAACAAAAAATCTTGCACTTGAGTTGCGAAAAATTGCGAGATTTTTTTTCGGAATTTTGGATTTTGCTCGAGGCGAAGTTTGGTCAGCAATTCGGCCAAAAAATCGCGGATTTTGCAGGGGAATGGGTAAAATACGCTGCAAATTTTATTAACCGTTTTGAAAGAGCAGAAACACTAGATTGGCACACGAATGATAAGCAATTTACACAATTTTTTGATCGTTTTCTGCGGAAAATTTTTAGGTATAAATCAATGTTAAACGAGATATTTGAAGACAAGATAGAAATATTATGCTCTATATCTTATTCTAAAACGTATTTTAGAGCCAATGGAGACAATTTTGGCAAAAATCAGCTCATTTATGATAGATGATACCTAAATTATGTTGTGCCTGCGATAACTTGGAGAAAACATGAACACACGGGGTAAATTGCTATGAAACTGGTCAAATATGTGACAAGCTGTCAGTAGGACCAATACACGCTACTATTGTGGGTACACATCGACCAGAAATAAGTGAAAAATTAATAAGACACCTTGTTTTAGACGGAAGTAATAAAAGACGTAAAAAAACGATAAATCCTGGCCAAACATGGATGGGAATTACCTAGAAATGAAGACACGATTGTGAGCTCTCCGTAAACATCAATTTTACTTCGAAAAATTCCAAAAAAAATCAGAAAAGATTCGGCGAAATTTTTTTTTTCCATTTTTCATTTTTTCCCCAAGGCAAAAAAGTGTAACGAAATTTTTTTAATTTGGGTTATGATGAGCAACATAAAAAAGGTAAAACTTACCGTTATAACAACAAATTATTACGATTAGACCCGATTTTGAATAGGTTTGGGATAATATTAGGGGAAGAGTGCCGACCGGCGGCGAAGAGTTTGGGCTCCGTCGTTTCTTTGGGCGGCTCCGAGCGTACCTAAAACAAGGCTGGGCAATAATTTTTTTGGGAAAATTGGGAAAATTAACGGTAAAATCACGGGAAGAACCATGGTATAAACAGGCAACTGGGCAATAGTATTGAAGATTAATTTTGCAAAAATCAAAGTCATCATTTTGCAAATTTTTGGGTTTGAAAAAATCAACAAAAATACAGAAAAATATGGGATTTTAAAGCCTTAGCCTCATAAATCATTATAATTTCCTTGTAGATCCAATCATTATGACCGATTTGGAGGTTTCCTAAAAAAAATTTTGCGGATTTTTCAAGTCGGAAGCGGTTTTTTTAACGAATGAAAACAAGGATTGTGTTTACAGGAAAAACAAGGTTTAAACGGGAAGGGGGAAAACGAACAAAATGTCTGATGGATAAGAGATTATGTCATGGTGTTTACACTGCCCACAGTTCGGGGTATTCTCTTCCGACGTCTGATGGGCTTTTTTGATTGTAAATCTTCGCTGAATAAAGGATCAAACCCCGATTTTTGGAGGGCGGGGTACCGTTTTTCCGAAAATTGGATGGGAAATTTGATTACATTTTTATGAAACTGATCTTTTCTTATGCTGCAGGACCTCTGTACGAGGAAATCGCATGAAAAAAGACCTATCTATAACGGACAATTTCAGATGCCCCAAGGTTTTGTTTATGTCGAATTTTTAAAGGGGGATCTATGCAGTTTAGAGACCATGGAAAACGAGGATAGACGATCAGAGAAAAATTCTCATAAATTTCTCGGAAATTTTTAAAAAAATGAGCACCGACTTAAAACCCTCTCTCTAGACGATCTGCCACTTGTTTACACTCGATTCAGACTTTTTCCTGCACGATTTCCACCGAATACTCGGCTTAAGAATCCTCCAGACTCCTTCTCTCAAATCCAACATATGCAGATTAAAGCCGAACAAAAGCCTTGCACGTTGACGCATTTCGAACGTATTCGGAAACTGGCCGCTAATCCAAATAGCATGTGCCAAGAGACGGGCAACGTAACAACTATAACGGGCGACCGTTACGCAACGATTAGCAGCAATCTTCCAGTCTTTTATTCCGTGTTTTCGAAGGAGATTGACTCATCGTCGGATTAAACAAACCCCCAAACAATGTGGGATTTGGTAGAGGCATGTGATATTCCGAAAAGATGGGAGAAATGTCAGTTTTAAATTAAATTGTTAATTAATGTAATAATAGATGGTAATCCGCGGAAGTGGCCCGATGAATCGGGTATTAACCGCGAGTTTGAGGCTAATACGGTAACCGAAGGTCGAAAACAATATGATTAATGTTCAGAAAGGCAAATTTAGACATTCAAAGACTACATAATTGAACGTAAAATTATTTTTTTGGTCAAAGCGAGGTCCAGAATTGGGCAAACATGACTTAAACAGGTATGCATATTTACTGGTCAAGATCTAGAAAATTTTAAAAACATCGCACGTCAATCCAAAATAGAAGAAAAAACGTGCCGCCCTTTTTTGGCGATTCGTTCAAAACGAAATGTCACTATCCGATAACACGCATTTTCTTATCTTTCTTCTTCCTTTTCAAGAAAAAGCAATTATTTCGGCGGAGAAAAAGTGCCGATAATTTCGCGACATTTCGTCTCTCTTTTAAATCAATGAAAACGATACGAAGTTTCGAAACGGTTCAGGAAATTCGCTGGATTGACGTGCATGGCTGTTTCTGAGGCCCAGCCGACGCTGATGAAGCAGGTCATAAGTGAGATTTCTGATGTCTCAGACTGGCTTAGAAATTCGTAATCGACTTATTGTTTAAACATAATACGATTAGTGTCTCAAAGATCTCTTTTGAACTTACAAATGTCACGGAGTTTGAGCAAAAAATTATATAGAACACAAAGGCAAAAATAGCTGTATTTCCTAAACTTAGCTATAGAAATCCGTCCCAGCAGCTTCACCCGACCTCCAATCCCAACCTAAACCCCTTTCCTCCCACCCCCGTTCTGATCCACCGGAACCAATCTTCTTTCCGCTTTACCCCCATGAAACTTGTCGACAAGATGTCTGGGATTATTAATTCCATTATAACTACTACAAATATTGTAGAACCGAACCATTTAATCCGATTTATCCGCCCCGAACGACTTCCCCCACATAATAATAATAAACGACCCTCAGGGGTTAATTGCAGTTCGTGGAATGGAAAGTGAAATCGAGGATAAAGAGTAATGTAAATCCCCTCCATTTCTATTTGACCTGAGGCGATCTTCAGAAAGGGCACGAATCGTTTAATGTCTTTTTTTAAAAGTCACTTTCGGAAATGGAAATGGCGGATCTCTTTTGTAACAAACAAACCCACTTGAGGTTCGAAATTCGCAGAGAAATGCGGAAAACAAATTCGATGGGATCTGCTAAAGGTCAGAAGAGTAATGAATTTGGATTACGGGAAATTTGGTAAAACGGTTTTGAAAGGTTTTCTTACAAAGTTAAATTGGCAATATTCAAGATACAGCCAAATATCTGTACAATCTCTTGTAAAAGTTCTAGAAAAATGTATTCATTATAGAAGGGTTTGCTGCAGGGTGGTTAATTTTAGACTGAAGTTGGCTTGTGGAACCGTTGAAAGTGTTGTTTCTTACTGTTAGAAGGGGTTTGCTTTTTGGGAGTTTGATGAAATAAATAGAATAGAAATGGCACATATTTGGGCAGAGCACGATGGAAATGAAGGAAGTGCTCGAAGCGCTACGTTCTGATTACATGCAAATTTTGTACGCATGTTACCTAGACCATTTCGATCAATGAAATCTTAGCTTGCGCTTTGTCATGCCAGCGGAGATATTCAAGGATCTTTGCCGATAAGAGAGTACTCGAAATGCGGAGAGCTGTCAGAAAAAAAAGCTTTATAGCCCTATCTTGTCAATGTTGTATGGAAAAAATGATTTTTTGTGGAAACATAGGTGCGGTCCCGGTTCCACTACATACATTGCCCATTATGTAAATTGAAATTTGACTGGACATGATGACGCTAAAAAACGCAGAAGAAATGTCGAATTTTAGACAACCTTTGACCGAAAAATCTAGATTGCTTCTGGAAGCGCAAGCTAAAAATATCGACATTTTGTCTTGCGCAACTTCGCTGCCAAATTTCGTTCAAGTTTATACGTCATACTTGGAGCCCTTCCCTCTTGAACTTTCTATGTCATCAAAAAATGGCCGCCAGATCTAATGAAACGCCACTGAAAAAAGACTACAAAGTCTGCATCACTCCCTCGAAACACCTTTGCGAAATACAGCATAATTTGACAATGAACGCCTTTGTAAAAACCCCCCTCCAAAGCCCTGAAACATGACGGCTAATTAAGTGCGACGAAACAAACGAATCCGCAGAAAATCCCGGCACTTTCGGCGACGGCAAATTACAAGCCCTTGGATGGATTCTACAAAAATCCTCTTCAGCAGAATCCGGAGGGGAGAAAGTCACAAAAGAAGAGAGAAAAAAAACAGTTTGATCGGCGACTTTTGTGACCTCAGGGTTTCCCTTTTCGTTTCGTGAAGAGGGGAAGGCAATCAAAGGATTCCAAGAATTTTATTGGAGGAATAAATAATATATTCCAACGCGAAGGAAAACAGTTTCGGCGGGAAATTGGAGGTGGGTCAACAGTCGAAGAAAGTCTTGAGGATCGTCGGGGGGATTGATGAAAAGTCTGAACAGTTCTCAAGACCTGGAGGGCATGGGAAGAAAGGGCATCGATGGAGGGAAAAGATGAGTTCGGAGAGGGGGGAATAGATATCTGTCATGATGTGACAATGACGGGCATCTTCGCGAATTCAGATTTTAAAATACGCCACGATCAGCCAACATTATATACAGAGAGGGAAAGCAGAAAGGGAAGTTCAACCTTTCAAAAAGCTTTGAAAATTTT